TGAAAAGAAAGTAGATGCATAGGAGCCCAGAACTCTGGAAGCCAGATAGCCCCGAGGTTGCTAATTTCACTTTGCCAACTGAAAACACTATGTCTGTTTCTCATCTATCAAAAATATCTAGGCTGGCATTCCTACAACAAAAGATGGGCTCTCAAGAGAAATTCATAGCTAAATTATTTAATATCTTACACGATAAGGAGGCCTTCAGAAATGAAGCCCCAACGACCAGGGAACACTGGTCAATGAAGGATGAGCACCATGTAGAACTGTGGTTGGATGAAAACGGGCATGATCTAGTGGTGAGCAGCTAGGGGGACTCAGCGAGACCTTTTCAGATCGTTTTTTTGGACTCTGTGTAGCCTTTCTTCCCTTGAGACATGATGAACACTCTCTAGGGAGAGGGTATCATGGTATACTTACAGGGAAGTTAGGTCAGAGAATTTTTATGACCAGCCTTCACACAGAATGACTAAAAGGTCAGCATACAACCTTCTGCCATTTCCTCAGTCCCTGAGGTACCATATCTGCGGTACTGTGCCTGAGCCCAGACAGTATACAATAAGCACCACAGAACAGTGAATGAACAGTGTGGGTGGGCTCCTCTTTACATCACACAAGGTCACTCCCACACCTCTGCAGTCTGCTGGCACTCAGAGGCTACACTCTGAAAGCACAGGATGTGAGGAGGCAGGAGGGTGGCAGAGCAGGGTAACATCACCCCTGAGGAGCAACAGTCTTTGCCCAGCTGCTAATGAGGAGAATCAGAGACAGTGCTATACACTTCCAAGGGGCAGAGCCTCAGCTGCTCTGGCCATCATCTTTGCAGAGAGAGAGAGCCTAGACTTCTTAGCCAATAGCATTCCACCATCCATTCACCAGACTTTCCCATATAACATCCCCTTCTGTCCTGACAGTGATGCTCCCTGGTTTTGTTGGTTTAGCCCATTTTACTAGTGAGGAAACTGAACCACAAAGAAGCTAAACAACTTGCTTGTGGCTATAGGCTAGTGGCTGTGGGACTCAGGATCTAAGCCCACACTAGCCTTCAGGTTAGCCAAGAAAGGGGAAAGGCGACTGAGGAAGTCAGACTTATGCCAACAGTTGCAGGGTATGAGCCACGGTTTGAGATAAGACAGGATGAAAGACTGAGGTATTGCGCAGTAGTAAAATATTTGCCAAGCATGAGCAAGGCCCTGGGCTCTATCCCTGACACCCACCCACCCCCCATAAAAAAGAGGATGAAAGGGAGAGGAAGAAGGTAAAGAGGGGTACAAGGGAAGTGGAAGGGGAGGAGGAAGAAGAAGAAAATGGAAAACAAAACTGAAGAGGTTGACAGAGATCAAAACATTCAACCACTCAGGTGGCAGTGAGGGGCCCTTAAAGGATTTACTACCAGGTACTCAAGCACAGGGTGGGTGAGGGGGCAGATTGTTGTCATCATCACTTTGGAGCAGTGTAGAGGCCTGAACAGTGGGATGGAGGTCTTGGGGAAGGGCAAGGTATTTTAATTCAGGCTAGAAACAGTGGCAGCCTGAACCAAGATGAGAGTGCCAGAGTAGAAAAGGAGAGACAAGCTAGAGAGGAGCTCCAGAGATTAAGCAGGCTGGTTAGCCGTGCAGGCTGGAATCCAGAGATTAAGCAGGCTGGTTAGCCGTGCAGGCTGGAATCCAGAAAGGCAACTCTAGGTAGGTAGATGGCTGTCTTTGTAAGTGAGCATTGGGGCCATTTCCCCAAACAGAATATAGAGAAGGGATGGGCCTTGCAGCAGAGGTGGGGAGTTTGGGTCAGTCATACTAAGCTGGAAAGGCCAAGGGCAGCTAGATCATGACTCCAAGGCTAGAGATGTGCCTCAACTGGTAGAGCACCTGCCTAGAACGCATGAAGCCCTTCCCAGCTGGCATGGCAGTGCACGCTGTGGTTCGGGGAGATGGGAAGTGCAAGTTCATCCTTCTTTACACAGTGACTTCAAGGCCAGCCTGGGATACCTGAGACCCTGTTGGGGGTGTGGGTTATGAGCTCAGATTCCTGCCTGGAAGTTGTTTTATCAGCATAAAGATGGTAGCTGAGCACATTTTTTAATGCATGAGCCAAGGAGGCTGGGAAGACGACTCAGTGGAATAAAGGGTTTGCTGTGCAAACATGGAGACCTGAGTTCAGATTCCAAGCATGTAAAAAGCTGGGTGTAGGAGGGGAGGGGGATGGAGCTAGAATTGACAGGTGAAACAATTTAAATTAAAAAAAAAAAAAGCCGGTGTCTGTAACCAGAGCTAGGGGTGGGGGCTACCAGAGACAGGCTCTAGCCAGACCCTGTTTGTTGTTGTTGTTTTTTTATTTTCAAGACAGGGTTTCTCTGTGTAACAGTCCTTGCTGTCCTGGAGCTCTCTCTGTAGACTAGGCCCACCCAGAACTCACTGAGATCCGTCTGCCTGCCGCAGTCTCCCAAGTGCTGGGACTAAAATATAAGGGAGGCGGCCAGAGATGTGGCTCAGCAGCCAAGCGCACTCACAGCTCCTGCAGAGGACCCAGCTTTAGTCCCCACCCATGACATGCTGACTCACAACCATCTGGAACTCCAGTTCCAGGGGGAGATCCGATGGCCTCCTGACCTCTGCAGGTTCACATAACACACACACACACACACACACACACACACACACACACACACACACACACACACACACACACACGAGAAACAGACAGTGGGAGAGAGACAGAGAGAGGATTCCCAAAGTCAACCAGCCCAAGACTCTCACTGTAAGCAGGTGTATGCCACCACACCTAGCTAATACATTTTCTTCTTAACATGAGAGTTTTTATTTATTTTATAATCCCCCACCAGGACCACTGGTCTGTATCCCTGATGTTTAGAACAGACACATAGTAGGTTCTCCATACAAATTTTCGAGGTGAGTTTTTGGATAGCGCTAGAAGCCCACCCTGTAAAACCAGGTACAGGCTCTTAATGGCCTGCAATTCTGAATGTTGATCAGTAGGTGGCGCATCTGTGTAAGCGCGGAAACTTGCAGCTGGCATTGCCCGTGGCTCAGAGAATGAGAAGGGAGAACGACGAAAGTGAGCAATCAGTGGATCTGACCTGCAGAAATCTGCATCCATTCCCTTAGCGGACGTCACTAAAGCGCCAGCCATAGGCCTGGCCTGGTCTGTGCTTTCTGGAGCTCTCCAAAATCCAGGTTGGAGGAAAGCAGCGAGAAAGGATGCGGTCACCACCACCACCACCACCACCACCCCCTGCCCCGCTCGCCCCGCCTCCACCCACACCCCTCTCTGAACACCCTGCAGGCAGAGGCCAAAGCTGCCTGGGAATTACAGGGTCAGGATGAGGGCAGGAGGGCAGGAGGCTGAAGAGCAGGCTGCTGAGCTGCAAGGGGCCATCTGTGAGAGGCTCCAACTCTAGAGATTCCTTGTCAGTATCCACCAAGCCTCAGTCTGGATTCTGATTCGGTTACATTCAGCAGATTTTACCTATGCAGTTTTTCTCTTGAACTCAGGTTCCTCACCTGTCTTAGTAGATCCTGCTTCAAAGGGCATTGACAATAAAACAAAAAGCAGTTGACACAGCCAACGCCTTTCGCATAACCACTAAGCAAACTTGGCATAATCTGGTAGCTCTTAAAAGCCCTCGCCTCGTTCATAACATAAACCTAATCTTAATAACCCCACATGATAAGCATTTTTATTACCCACTTCTCAGATAAGAGGGCTCAATTTATCAGGTTGTTTAACTTGTCTGTAATAATAATAATAAGCCTCATAAAATGATGAGTCTTTGCCAAGTTCAGCCAGTGTGTCCTGTGTTACATGTGCTGTTCTGGGTGCAGAGGATCCAGGACCAGGGAAGTTACCCTGCAGGTGAAGCAGAGGCAACAGATATTCCCACAGGACACGCTAGATGTTGAGAGAGGAAGATGCCTGGAATACTACAGAAGAGAGTCAGAAGTGACTTGGCCCAACTGGGAGACTTTGGAAGATTGCTTGAAGAAGGTAACCTCTTGGTTTGTCTCAAAAGTTGGGTATGCACAACTTGGAAGGAAGCGGGCCTGAAGAGCCCCTGCCTCCTCAGAGAAAGAGCGGACATCTGCAGGGGACCTTCTCCAAAACAGTGTCCTCTGACCTAATGCACAGCAAGCAGTCTGCCTGTCCTCCAATCTGAGCTAAGAAGAATGCAACCAACAGCGAGACGGAGAGCCCCGTAACCACCATCATTGTCTAGCCCTCCTGCTTCGTACCCATAGGACTGTAATTTCTTCTAGCAGACCCCTGGAGCAGGGCTCCTCAAACATGAACATGCACAAATACCCCAGGTCTGTACCAAGCTCGCCGAGCGAAATGCAGCCTCTGGAGGTAACTGGGGTCTCACTGTCATTGCCAAGAGAGGAGCTGTGTCTGGCATTGCACACCGTAGGAGCCACAGTTCGTGGCACCAAGCAGCAAGACTGCAGCTGGGACTAAGATGAAGAAGATTCTGAAGATGTGACCATTGACCCCAGACACCCCAGCTGCCCTTCTCCAACTCCAGTCAACACAGACTCAAAGCCCAGACCCAAGCTACTCCCCGGTCCTTCCCCAGAGCTGCTGGGCAGAGGCTGGGGTAACCCCTGAAACAGGAAGTACAAAGTGTCAGCCATCCTATACTCTCAGTCAAATGTCACCGAACTTACCCTGAGCCCTTCTCTCAAGCCTGTGAATGAGGCAAATCAGGTTGCTGCCCCTTCTCTGTTAAGATGGCTCACGCCCCAAGGAGAGACTAAAAACCTCTTCTAACTTTAAACCTCCCCAGCTACAGCTCCCTTCCTAGGAATTTTAGGCCAGAAGTTCTTCCACATCTGCCCACCACTCCCCAAGTGTACCCCAAATGAACACAAACACACACACACACACACACACACACGCACACACACATGGGGAGGGGGGCTCATGGAGGGAGGAAGGGAGGGGAAAGGAGAGAGACCATAAAAACATGGACCTCGTAAACCAATATCTGTGCTTCCTCTCAAGAGGGTCTTTCATTATTTATTCAACAAATGTATATCATGGACCCTCTGTGAGTTGGGTACCGACCTAGGCATAGCAATGACAGGAGGGTCATGACAGATAAGGAACTTCCTGCTCATTCTTTGCTCTCCGGTCATAAAGAAGATAAAGTGAGAAGCATAATGGAAAGTCATGAGGCTGTTACACAGGGTGGACAGGTGAAGCCTCTCTGAGGAGGTAGTGCTGAAATGGCACTCTCATGGATCCTTAGGCAGAGGGGCTGATGGGCTAGCACCTGGGGAAGGAGGATGGGTGGATTGGTATCTCAGGGGCACCAGGGAAGATGGGTGACGGTGTTTGTGAGCAACTCTTGAGTTCAAGTCATGTTTCAAGTACATCAAGGAGCTCCAGGGTATTCAGTGCAGAAGAGGAACACAACCCACTCAAGTGTTTCATAGACCACTCCATTACAGAATGGGGAATTCACTGCTGATCAGTTAAAGGCCAGCGCTGTCCCCCAAAGCCCATGTTCTGTGAGTTCCCCATGCTGGCGGAAGGCAGGAAGAGTGGCTGGCTGGCCTCCCACCCTTCCAGCTGCCACACAGAACCTTCTGTGTGCATGCTGCTGACTCACAAGGCAGTTGTGCCCAGATGGCCATCTGTGGAGCCAACCATCTGGGTTGACACAGTATCTGAGGAATTCCTGGAAACCCAGCCAGGAACCCACTTGGGTGACCAATGGACTCTGGAGAAAACATCCTCAGCGTTGGCCCAAGAGTGTACCTCAGCTGCTCCTAGGGTTTGGCCAATGAGTCAAGTGACCTTAGCCCAATGCAGAGAGTTGACAGCAGCTCCAGAGTGGGGCAATAGTCCTCCAGCCCTTGCCCTGGGCAGCCTTCTATTGAGCTGACTTGCAAAAGAAGAAACCTTGGCCACAAGCTCCAGCTCCAAGTTCATGGCCATCCCAGGGAGAAATTAAGGTGCAGTGGTGTTTTTCCAACAGCTTCTAGATGCAGAATCCTGTCGAATGGGACGGAGGAGGCTTAATTTATTAACAAATAGAAGTTTACCTCCCTAGCTGCGCCTTCCAAATCCACCCCTCCCCTCCTTTGCTCCCTCCCTGGTATCTTTGGCCCAGCCTCTTTCTTTCCTCAATAGAATTAGACTGTGTTGTGTCTCCCCACCCTCCAAAGAAACCCCCTTGTTCTCCACGGTAGAGTTCAGAGAGGATTTTCAGCGTGAGAGATGGGTGCCCCATACTGTCCCCCACGGGGCAGGTACCAGAGAAAGGGCACAGCAGGGAGAAAGACCCAAACCTGGGTGACAGGAATGTCAAGGACAAAGATCCACGACCGCTGTGGTGGGAACCTGTATTGGGAGGGTGTCTGCTCCCCCCTGTTCAAGATATATATTCACCCTGACTGGCCCTGCCTGGGGCAGGGTCAAAATCAGAGACTCTGCCCAGGCTCCACTGGGTCTTTCCCAGGCCTCAGTCCCCCAACAGTTAATGCAAATTTAGTTCCTGACTGACAACAAGAGCGACACCAAAACAGTCAACTATTTTTATCTCCAGATTAATCACAAAAAGGCTAACGCTTCCACCTTCCTTGTGATTAAAAATTAGGAGACCAAACTCTATAGTGGTTCAGGATAATAACCAATCCTGTGAGGGGATGTATGAATAATGCATCTCCAGGCCTGGGCTTCTCTGAGACTTCCTCCCTTCCCCACAAGGCCCTCACAAAGGGCCCCCATCTGAATGGAGAGGTAATGAGCACACGCACACGCGCACACACACACACACACACACACACACACACACACCTCCCATCTGAGCTACAGCTGCCAAGAACGAGTGTTGATTTCTATTCAGCTGATGGCCCCCAAACATCCTCCCTCATAACTCACCCCACCCCACCCACCCCGCCCCCACCATCCCTCCCACCCCCATCTGGTGTGCAGCGAGGCGAAGGCCAATCAATAATGCATGGCTACATGAATAACCAGCATGATAACCACTTATTTGGGAAGATGTAATCAGGACCCATTCTGAGGGTGGATGTTTGTGTGTGTGTGAATGTGTGTGCATGCCTAAGAACATCCACAACACAGCCCTCTCCCCTCCCAGCTCCCCTCATCCCCAATCTCCTCCAGTACAACACTGGTGAAGAGGGAAGGGAGGGATAGGGTCTCTGGTATGAGCTTCTAGGAAGCGCGCGCGCGCACACACACACACACACACACACACACACACACACACACACACACACACACCTTAGTCAGAATACAGAACAGCTCTATGCACCTAAGCCAAAAGCCCAAAGGAAATCTGGTACTCAAAGACGGTTACTCTTCCGCATCCCTGGGGACCAGCGCCACACTCTGGGGTCTCATTGGTCAGAGAGCACACTGGCACCAAGATTGATGAAACTTCCCCAGAAGGTTGCCAACCAACCCCTGTCTCATTCCAACGCATGTCAGTGCTGGAGGGAGTGCTCACATTTTCTGCCGGAAGACACTGCCTTACTGTCATCCTCCCACCCAGGGTACCCTCTGCCACCATATCTCTTGACCCATCATTGCAAGGCAGAGGATGCCAAAGGGGCCAGGAGGTCCTTCTGCTCTAAGACCAACTGTTACTCTAGTCCCAGCCCAACTCAGGAAGAGAGCGCCTCTTTCTTGAGCAGCCTGTGCTGAGAAAGGGACTGCCTATACTGAGAGCTGAACAGGGACCACCCAAATTTCCACAGAATACTGCAAGCCCCAGCCCTCACTGCTGGAGGGGCCCAACCCACCCCCACTGCAGGAAGCTGGGTCCCTTTCATCAGTCTCTAGCCACACCCCCGCTGATGGAAAGCCCTAATTAGCCCCCCCCTTTGCTCTCCGGCCACGCCTACACCAAGGAGGTCACAGGCACTAATAAGAGGGTACAGTGGGCACCAACAGTTGACTATATTCAGTGTCCAGCTCATACCCGCCTGCCTCTTCCAGCCTGGCAGCTCCAGGGCCTCCTGGAGAGGCCTGGCTTCAGAGCTATGGGCATAGAAGGGTTAGATAAGGCCAACCTTCTCCCTGGGCCAGGAAATTTTTGGCATCAAGAGCTGGTTTGGGTCAAAAAAAAAAAAAAAAGGTGGTCCTATCTCCAGAGCCCTACAAAGTTGAGGTTCCTCAGGAAATGGTTCTGTAGGGCTATTAAAGCGTCCGTGTGGACCAGATAGGCATAGGTAAGGTAACCAACCTAAAGGCTTACTGTTTTGGGTACTGGCTTAGCCAAACAAGGGCCCTTCTGCCTGTTAGAGAAGCCCAGTGGACTAGGTCAGGAGTTGACAGAGGGAAAGAAGGCAAGCGGGTTCTGCAGCTCATAGACACTGCAAACCACAACATAGGTGTTTGCTTGCCCAGGGTCAGGTTGGAAGGATGGCTTGCCCTAAAAGCCAGTAGAAAGACCTCTGCACTAGGTCCGAAACCCCCATGACACACCCACCCACCTGTCCTTCATTCCTGGGAACATGCAAAGTTCCCGCCTCCAGTGTGTCTGGGGAACCCCTTCCAGCCTCTAGGGCTAACTGAATAGACCCCCTCTGTCTATGTCAGGAAAGATAGAGGTTCCCCAGGGGACAGTCTCTTCAGATGGTCTCCATGGAACCCTGTCTCCTCCATGGCTTGTCCATGGAACTGTAAAGGCCTGGAAAACTTAAGTATGCCCAGAAGCACCAGCCTCAGAGGTAGCTGTGTGTCAGTCAACTCTCGGCTTCCCAGAGTCTTTTTACCAAACAATAATTCATTGCCATCATACCTGTCCATCCTACAGTGTGGCCTTCACGAGAATCAAAGGTGGTTCATTGGAGGCGGCAGATGTCTGGAGATGCTTCAAGCCATGGAGTTCCGTGTTGGCCCTGCAAGGGGACCTAGCTTCATATTCCCCTTTGGCACTATGTATATCTGATGGGGTCCACCAGTCACTAGTCACACTGTTACATGTAGTAATAAATAAATAGATAAAAAAAGGAAAGGAAGAGAGGGAGGGAGGGAGGGAGGGAGGCAGGGGAGGGAGGGAGGGAGGGAGGCAGGGGGAGGGAGGGAGGAAAGGAGGGAGGGAGTAAGGGAGGGAGGGAGGGAGGGAGGGAGTAAGGGAGGGAGGGAGGAAGGGAGGGAGGGAGGGAGGGAGGGAGGGAGAGAGGGAGGGAAGGAGGGAGGGAGAGAGGGAGGGAAGGAGGGAGGGAGACTCCCTCTGAGTGGGGACCAGGGTACCGGAGCTATGCTGAAGGACAGAGCTCAGGAAAGGCTTGGGTGCAGACACTGAAGAGCCAAAGAGCTGCCCTGTCACCTGAGGGAGGGGACCACCCTGATCCAAGACGCAGCTTCCAGCCCCAACCCTGCCATACATTCACCATGTGACCTTAAACAAGTCTCTTGATGGCCCTCAGTTTCCAGGTGTTTTCCCTGAGTAAAAAATGGGATAAAAGTAGTGTTTTCCCTGCAATGCTGTTGTGAGAGATGTAACAAAGCTTGGCAAAAAGAAAAGGAAAAAAATGTTGGGGCTGGATTAATGGCTCAGTCTGGTTCCCAAGACAACTATCAGACAGCTCACAACTGCCTGTCACTCCAGTTCCAGGGGACCCAATGCCTCCGGCCTCTGTGAGCACTGGCACTCATGTATATGTGCATACACCACACACACACACACACACACACACACACACACACACACACCACACACACCACACACATACCACACACACACACACACACCACACACCACACGCACACACACACACACCACACGCACACCACACACACACACCACACGCACACCACACACACACACCACACGCACACACACACCACACGCACACACACACCACACGCACACACACACACACATTTTAAAATCTTAGGCCAGGTGGTGGTGCACACCTTTAATCCCAGCACTAGTGAGGCAGAGGCAGGAGGATCTCTGGCAGTTCGAGGTCAGCCTGGTCTACAGAACAAGTTTCAGGACAGCTGGGGTGACACAAACAAACCCTGTCTTGAAAATAATAATAATAATAGTAACCTTTAAAAATAAATCTTCTCTTTTTTAAGTTGAAAATAAAGATCATGCGGGTCCCTAGTATCCCAGTTGCAAAGCACTGCTTCCAGGTCTGTGACGACGAGCTAGGGACACCTGCTTGTCCTCACACATGCTTACTCCTGGCATGACAAGATGAAGAACAGCACATTCTTTTACTATTATGGTCATTATAATACACAGGGTGACTCTCTTTATCAAAGCATAATAATTACTGCTCATTATCCTCTGTCGTGTCAAGCAGAGACCTACCCAACCTGATCCTCTCCTCCTCTTCCCACAGTGCCACCAGATGACCCCATCATCCTAGGGGGGCCTGTGATAAGCCTTCGGGCAGGGGACCCTCTCAACCTTACCTGCCACGCAGATAACGCCAAGCCTGCAGCCTCCATCATCTGGCTACGTAAAGGAGAGGTCATCAACGGGGCCACCTACTCCAAGGTGAGCCTGAGGGGGAGATGGGGATGGACAGAGGGACAAAGGACAAAGGGAGGCAAGGGTGGAGGGGTCAGGCACATGGGGACCGGTTCTACCTTTCTCCGCATGGAAGTGCTTCTGTTGTTTCATATTCTCCCGATGGCTTGCTTTGGCTGTTTGTCTGTTTTACTCATCACTTTAGTTCTCAGACTGTTTTTTTTTTCCACTAGCTTCCTCCCCATCTTACCCCCTGGCCAGGATTATTATAGGTTAAACCCTAGAACAAGGTATGGTTAGAAGAGTAAACAAGGAAGAGTGGTCAGGACTAGTGTTGCTACCGCTAATATGCCATCCTCCTAATAAGTATGTGCCACCCCCAAAACTCCTGTGCTGAAACCCTTAGCTCCAGGAGAGCGGAGACAGAACTTTGGAAGATGGTTATATCATGAGGGTGGTACCTTCATGATTGGGATTAGTGGCCTTATAAAAGACACCCAAGAGAGAACGCTGTCGTTTCCACCATGTGCGGACCTGTAAGGTGATGGCAACTTACAAACAGGTGAATGGATGGACCTTGCCATATAATCAGCCAGTCTCTCCCATCTTGGGCTTCCTAGCCTCCAGAACCATAATAAATGAACTTCTGTAGTTCTGCTACACGGAGTTTTTGTTTTTGGGGGGTTTTCTTGTTTGTTTGTTTGTTTTGGTTTGTTGGTTTGTTTGTTTTGTTAAAACAGCCTGAATGAAATAAGACTTTTTTCCAGAAAACATGGTAAGTTAATTTTTAGCATGTTTCTCCCCAGTGTTGCATGGACCATACCCATACTAACAACTTATGTATTGTTCATCTGAAGTTCAAGGTTAATAGGTCATCCTGTGTTTTAATTTGCTAAATCTGGCCTGATTTCCACAGTTGCCTGATGAGATGCCAGAACAGGGACCAGGAAGGGCTAATCTAAGCTTTGTGCCCTGATGAGCCTGTCTGTGGGGCTGCTTGTCTTTAACTCACACAGTCGCACCCTGGACGGGTACTCTCTTATTTTGTTTTCTGTGTTTTATACCGTTTTGACAGCTTGTGGTCTCAAAGACCCCAGGATGTGTAATTGGCCCAGGTTGACCAGGCCCCAGAAAGAGTTAACTCACTGTTCACTCTTCGGCCCATCTAGAGGCCACAGCCCCTGCTTGCCTTCTCTGCTGCCTCCTGTAGTCCAGAGTGGTATCTCCGGGACCAGGAATCAGAAATGTCAGACCCCTCTATAGCCCAGAGCCCACTAAAACGATTCAAGCTATTCAACCTTAAAGCTATGCGGCCCCTGCCCTGCCCTGCCTCACCCAACCCTTTCCCCACAAACCGCAGCAAAGGTTCACCACACACTGCGTCCTCCACTCCCAGTGGCCTGGTGCGGCATGGCTTACCATGCCCCTCCTCTCGGGAACTCTGCAATGGCGGTGGCTTCCTCCTCATCTGTTGGCCTCACTGTCCGAGAATACAGTCAGAAATGACCTGTGCCACACACCTCCCCCAGGGGACTTTTCATGCCTTCAAGATGAAGACGACCTTTGGAGGCCACTGGTCCCCGCTCTTTTGTCTGGAGACAGAAAGCTGAGTGAGACTTTGAAGGAAGTGTCTGCCCTACTCAGTTGTCTTCTAGTAGCACCGGGACTAGAGCCAAGGTCTCCTGTCACCTAGGCTTTCTGGGCCTCTCCCAGAACAAGCTCAGATCTCTATGGGACCCAAGAACATCATCGGGACCCCAGGCAAAGCAGTCTCCAGGCACTGAGGCTGGCGTATAGTCTTTCAGGGCCCCGACTCAGGACCCTAAGTTTCAGAGGGTGCCAAGGCACATGCTAGTTCTTTAGTTCTGATCCAGCTGGCTCTTCCCCATGGGTCCTGAAAAGAGAAGAAACGTCTTTTCCATCAGCAGAGGATGTGAAGAAAGGCCGTTCCTATTCCAGGGATGGTTCCTTCCCATCCCAAACTGACTATCGTGCCAAAGGTGGCTGATCAAAGGTTGGCTTGCCACCGACTTCCTGAGGCCAGAGTCCCAAACAAATGACTTCTCTTGGACCTGAACCCATCCTAGGAACAATGCCTTCTCTTGGAAGATAAGTCCTATGCTCACATTGTAGGTGGAACCTCACTGAGGATATCAGGAAATGCAAACACATGGCCCAAGGGCCAAGGTCATGCAGAGGATGCTGGGAAAGAAAGAAAAGGGTGTTCCTCCATGTCTGTCCATGGTCTCTCTGAAGCTGAGCCAGCCTGACCCACCCAAGATATATGAACAGAAGAGGACATGCCTCATTTGTGAAGGCAGGGGTCAGGGCCACCCTGCGACACCTATTCCAGGCTAGCCTACTCAGAAGGCCACCCTCACCCACACAATGGATGCCTCAGCAAACCTGGCACACCGCCTTTCTGGAAAGCAGACTTTGTGCCGGTCCTTGCCCAGTCCCACCCCTGTTCTGACTGTCACAAAGGGAATGGCAGCCAGGCCAGATGCCAGCCCCTGCTCTCTGCAACCCCAGGCAACTTGTTTCCTGGGCTCAGTTTCCTCCTCTGAACATGAAAGAGACAGAAGACACACTCAGGAAGTGCTCTAGCTGCCTGTGACAAGCTGTAAACCCTCGGATTGGAGCTCAGTGCTGACATAGCCCATACAGCCCAAGCTGAGGGACTGTCAGAAACTGACCCCCACCCCATCTCCCTCCAGGAACGCAGCCCAGGCCATTCCTCATCCAGAACTGCAAAGACAGTTGTCATAAGCCAAATAGTACTTCTGACCTTCAAAGGCAGAACCTTCAGAGGGAGGCTGAGAGAACACACGTACACACACAACCACTCAAACACAGCCCACAGAGAAGCCCCCAGGAAGCAGCCCTGACAGATTTGGATCTAAGGCCCTCAGTATTTGTCACATGGGAATGGTTAAGCCCACTGATACTGGGTGGCCTAAATCTGATTCCAGCCTCCACCTCCCCCTAGTTATGTGATCTAAAACTTCGCATGTGTGTTTCATCTGTACAATGAGAGCGTCATTAGTACCTGGATCTAGGGATGGCTGGGGACACAACCAAGAGACCTACCAGGCAGACTGAACCTGCAATAAGCACAGCTGTTAAGACTGTCATCGGTCCTCTGGATCCTCACACCTGGCCACCTGCATTTCCTAGATGCTGTGGCGGTGTCCAAACAGCAGGCCAGAGTCCTGTAGGCAGAGCTTCCATCATGTCATAATGTTGGCTTAATCTCTCTGCCTCAGTTTTCCCAGCTGCAAAATGGAGAGTATAATAATGATCATGACTGCTTATTAGGGTTACTGCAGGACTCATGGAAATTATACATCAAAGTTCCTTGTAGGGCTGGTGAGACAGCTCGACCAATAAAAGCATTTGCTCCATCTCCGGGACCCACATGATAAAAGGAGAGAACTAATACACACAAGTCATCCTCTGACCTCCATGTGCACAGTACAGTCTGTGTACATGCACACACAATACATAAACAAATAAATGACATGTCCCTGACTAGCCTGACCCTTACCTCGCAGACCAGGCTGGTCTTGAACTCAGACAGGTCTGCCTGCCTCTGCCTTCCCGGTGCTAGGATTCAAGGTGTGCATCACCACGTCCAGCAAATGTAATCCTTTCAAAGTTCCTCGTAATGCAGGTGGGATAGAATAAGGACTCTATATTAGCTATATCTTCCTTGTTGCCACAAAAATACCTGGCAAATGCAACTTAAGGGAGGAAGGTTTATTCTGGCTGAGCTTGGGGGTAGAATTCACTGTGGTGGGGAGGCATGGCAGCTGGCCCGTGAGGCTGCTGGTGTCATGTCCTGTCTACCCAGCGTGGACTGCGGAGCTTCTCCCTATGGCCTAGTGCCTGTGTGGGCCACTTGGCTGTGTTGCAACTCTGAGGCTTGGCTGTGTTGCGGCTTCAACACTTCCTGCCAGGTCTGCTGAGAGAAGGAGCGGGGTGCGGAGGGGGGCTGCCTCTCTTCCTGTCACTTCATGGACACCCTGTCTTGGGAATCTGGGGACAGCTGGGATTCTCCCTTGTTCCTCCTGCTTCTCTGGGCCCTATGCAAGAATGGATGTCACAGGGCCTGCATCTGAAACACCAGCAAGTCCTCAGGGAGGGAAGAGCATGCGACAAAAATGGGAGATGAGTATGGGCTTAACCCTGAAGGAAAGCCTTTCCCGGGAGCTCCCTTCCCACTTGTGCTGTATCCCCAGAGAGGGTGCTGAGGCTGTGACCTGCCAGGGGCCACACAGAAAATACTTTTGTCTTAGGAGCCACAGCCGTCATCACCACGTCTGTTTCCTCCACTTTGGGGCTAGCTGCCTACTCAAGGGGCTGTCAGCCTGCCACCCCCTGGTCTCCACTGGGCCTGTGCTAAGACGAGCGAGCTCCAGAGAGCTTGCTCAGGAAAGGGATGCTGGCTTACATCCCCCAGGCCCTCAAGCTCCGTGGTACACATTGTCTCTGCAAGTCACTCCATCACACGGCATCCAAGCTGTCCAACTTGGGGGCCCAGAATCGCTACCCTATTCTATGCTATATATGTGATAGCTACCGCTGTTCACCTTGTCTACGAAAGGCATCTCTTCTAGCCCTAGGGTAGAAGGCTAGAAGCAGGGTCTCAGGCAAATGACACTGCACAGACCTATATTACCCATGTAACTCCTATGCAGTTCTGATAACAACAGGCCTATATGGACCCTCATGTATCTATAAAGGGGGAACAGAGAGATGATTAAAAAAAAACACAGCAGGTGGGGGAGGTGAGTGGGGAGGGAGAAGGCCTTGTTGCCAGGCAATCAGGCCTGCTGAAGGCCTCTCCAGGCTGCTTGCATATCAATGAGCGGCCCATATTTAGCACCAGAGTTGGGGCACCCACACATACTGTATTGCCTTCAGGCTGCCCATCTCTGAGGGCTCAGCCTGGCTCTCTACTGCTCACCAGAGGCCTTGTGAAGGTTGTAAAGATCTGCCCCCCACATTGGGCAACTGCCCCAAGTGGCCCCAGCCCTCACAGTCCAGCCTCTCACACCAGTGCTGAGAAACCAGTGCAACAGATGCCAATTCAGTGGCCTCAGGGCTGGATGGGCGAGGTTGCTTGCTTGCACAGACAGGAAGCCACAGAAGAGCTGGTTTTGTTCACACAGGCACTGGGAGCCTCACATGCTCACTGGAGCCCGTGAGAAAGTTCCTCAGATGCAGCTGGTGGGCAAAAGCCTGTGAACACCCACAGAGGTGCCTCCATGCACGCAGGGGAGAGGTAGAAATCCACTCTTGGAGAACTATACCCTGGCACAGTCATTCCTGGCCACATGATGCTGTCAGTGCAAAATCCACAGCTTTCATCTTAAAGGGAATAAGAGCTCGTTTATTTTGGATTCATTTTGAGCAATCATGGGCCGGGAACATTGATTTAGGTTACCCCAGATTTTACATTCTGACATGAAATCAGTTTCATGAAGTTTTTATAGTTTTACAGACTAAAGAAAGTCATAAGTGAAGACAAGTTTAAGATTACATTGGTGGGTACTGGAATCATTTCTATAGACCCAAGATGTTATCTGAGCTTTTGGGGCAGTGGAAACTAGGAGTCTAAGTGAATAGACTGTAAAAAGTTTATCTATTACTCACAGGATATTAGTTCTGACAGAGGTGGCCAAGGAGTGCCTGTTTTGGAGGGCTAGAATCTCCCCCCCTCTCCAGGCATAGTTGATTTTCAGGAATTTTGTCCACAATGCCTATATGTTGTATATATGCCTAGTCCTGGCCCCTACCAACATGGGCTGGACCACTGTAGATACTCAGGGGTTGCCATCGAAGTCACATCAATAAGCCTGGGGTCTAGAGTCTGATAGCATATTAGAGCCCACCATGCCCCAAGGAGGTGGTGAGAGAGATAAGAAACCAGTGACACCATTATAATCTATTGAATGCTAGTGAAGGCCTCAGCATCTGAGGTGTGTCCCCAGAGCCAAACTCTGTGAGGAGAAGAGAAGGAAGGAAGAGAGGTGAAGGGCCTAGGGATGGGAGAGGCAGGGGAGCAGGTCTCCGATAAGAATCGGCAAATGATAGACAGCTCCACGTGGATGACACCTTCAAGGCCACCAAGTCTCAAGGCCTCATTTGCATATGAGAAAAGTGATACAGGAGACTTGCAAAGGAAAGACAAAGCAAAGATAAAAGAAGAAAAATTTCAAAAGGGAATGAGGGAAGGGGAGCAGTGGGCAAGGGGGACCTGAAAGCATCTGCTCCCCATTTGAAATACAAAACTCAAGACAGCTGGAAAGGAAATCACACTTAATCAAGGGTCAGCCCTGAAAAGACGGAGGGCACTGTCATCCTCAGCGCATCACCTTAAAAGCATGGGCACATGAAAGCGCTGTTATAGAGACACGATGGGACAATTGGCAAAAACGCCACGCACTGAGAGGGGTCCTTCCTGCTCTTGGAACCTGCATCTTTAGACATGCATCTTAGTTTCCTACAGTGTAAACCTCAATACTCGCTTTGCCAGAGCCGATACCCAGGACCAAATAGGGACGGTATTACCCATACCCGTTCTGGTGACATCCAAAGATCACCAGTCGTTCTGACTTCCATGGTGCTAAAGAAACATCTTGATCATTTAGGTGCATTTTTCTTTGGGACCTAGGGTACAGTGCAAAGGGAAACTGAGCATAAAGGAGCTTTGCCAAGAGCCACTCTGAAAGGAACCGCCAAGGTACAACCATAGCCACCTTGCACCCCTGTGGGCTCGGAGTTTCTGGCTTTCCTCCTCACAGTCATTCCAGAGCTGTGTCAGCAGATCTGCCTGAGGAGCCAACAGACACAGCCCTTCTCCATGGGGCTGCTGCCCAGGCTCTGAGGTCCGTTGAGAACTGGGGGCCAGAGCCAGGTACATCTCCAGCTGGCCTTCTGCAGGGATGGTTCACTACTGGGACACTCGCCTTCTCCCCATTTTCCTTTTTGTTTAATGAACACATCTTCCTCTTTTTTCTCTCTCTCTCTCTAATTAGGTGGAACAAACAACTTGAACCAGAATTTTTATTTCCCAGAAAAGCACCCGCCTGGACACAGTAAATATGTCATTAATCATCATTCCGAGGCGGAGGAACACGCTGGGCTAGGGAGGAGGAAAAGCAGTCAGAGGGCCTAATTAGAACTAGGCCTCTGTGCTCGCTCCCACCCCCTTCTCAGAGCCCCGCTCCCACCACCCAGCCCAGAGCCCATCCATTGGAGGGGTTCTTGGCTTAGTCAAACTTATGTAAACGTCCCTTGTTAGCACCTTAGAAAGGGAGAGGGAAGGATATAGAAAAACAATACTCAGGCTGTCCCCTCCTCTTCCCTCCCCCATTCTACCCGGAGGTCTTATTTTCATCCAGGAAATTGTTCTTATTATCACTTAGCTATTTATAGAGGTGGCGAGGCCTGCTGAGCAGCACCAAGCCAATATGGTAATAGGGTGCCGGCTGCAGCTCCCTCCACACGTTGGCTTTGGTTTGGGCCTAAAATATACCCCATCTAACCCTATTCTGGAACCTCCAGTTGTGCCCCTGGCCCAGAAGCTGACCTGCAGGCCATGGGCTTCGAAGATTGGCCCTTGGACTGCTGGAACAGGCCACATCCCTCTCACTAGACCCTCTGCACACGGTTAGGACCAATACTTCTCCTGCCAGGATAGAAAGTACCAGAAGGCTTCAAGCCACAGAGCCTAAATCTGGACAATTTTATAATTACAAAGTGTGAGGCTGCTCTTCTGCTCTGTCTTCTGGTATAGACCGGCTTGACCTACGGTAGGAACCACTTGAGGCTCACACAAGGTTCTACTCATCCCAGGGGCCACAAGCTTGGCCCCAAGTTAAGAAGGGCCATAGAACTAAAGACCTAGAAGATGAGCTCTAGCAGCCTATGGTCTGCTGTCAACTAGCTCCGTTACTGGATTGGTAGGACTGTGTTGCCAGCTGTAAGGCCTAGGTCAGGGGTATCAGGGAGTCGGGGATACCTACTCTTAAGTTTGAGTCCCAGTTCTGCCCAGCAGTTCACTTTGAACCCAGCATTTACTTGCAAAATACAGATAATGTTTCTTCCTTGCAACAACTCTGACAATGAGATACAAAGCCATTGCTATTCTGTGAGTGCTGTTCAGTAAGTAGGGTCATCTACTCCCTGGCTGCAGTCTAGGAAAAACAAGACTGCATCTGGCACCTTTCCCTGTAGGATGTAAAGTCCCTCCCCAAAGCGGGAGGTCTTTGAGTCTGAACAGACTCCAATGCCGTCTGCAGTGGCCCTCTGGCTACATTCTCTCTCCTGCGTGCCTATCTTAATGGGCTCCAAACTGATGGGGCAGTGTCTGGAAGAAGTGACAGAAGAGTGAAGGGGACAACAGCCACGGTGGAGGACAGTCACAGGACAGCACTAGGACCTTTGCTTTGGTGGAGCCTAGCACAGCTTGGTGCTTAGGCCATTGTTGGGTCTTTAGAGGCTAACAGGTCTGAAGCCAAGCTGCCAACCAGCCTGTGCTGCTTCAGTGGTGCAGAGGCCTTCCTGGTCTCTGCTAGCTCCTGGCACGCCCAACATTCCTTGGTTTGTAGCAGGAGCATCCTAACCTCTGTCTTCATCACGGCAGAGGCTGCCTAAGTTGTCTCCTTTCCAAGAAAGGATACTTTTGGAAGCCAGGATGGTCCCATCTCAAATTCCTTAACAAACTAATTAACTAATTGGCAAATGAATCCCCATTCTAAGACTGGAGTAGACACGAATGTGGAGGGTGGGGTGGGGGACCAACCCACTGAAGAACCCTAGTACTGCTTCTCCCACTAACTTCAGCATGAGTTTGGCAAAGTTTCACTGCTTTGATGAGCCGTGCCTGTGTCCTCCCTTGTCAAAAGGAAAGCAAGGCATGGGCCATGCTGTGGCATGGTGCTTTAATGAGATCAGGAAGTGCAGTGATTTGGGAAGGCACAAAGGCTTCCATGGAGAGATAATCAAAGGTGGGCATACACAGACTGCTGACGTCCCTACCTGAGCATGTTCTTAACTCAGTGCTCCTAACTGTGTCACCCTTCCACAGACTCCTTCTTTCTGTGGACTGCAACCCCTCCCTCTGCTTCCCGTGGAGCCAGAGAGTCACCAACTCCAGGAGTAGAACACAGATGCCAGTTCATTTATAAGAAGGACCAACCCAAGGCCTGGCTTCCATTAAACTAAGCCTGCTTTCTGCTGAGCTTTTTGGCTTGCAAGTCCAGGCTGTTTTTCACATACCATGGCAATCTCTCTAGTTTCTTTTTTCCTGCCACCATCCAGCATTCAGCCAGGCCAAGGCCGTAAGGGAAGTAACTCCCCCAGTTCTGCATGGAGACCGGAGTCCGGGTCTCCTGAGCCAACCCTTCCAATACATGCCACCTGCAACTCTTTATTCTCTTCTCTGCCCTGTGGTCTGTCTTTCCCTCCAGGGCCATGCCAGTTCAGTAACACAAGGCCTTGTATTCCTTCACCACCTCTCTCCCCAGACTCTGCTTCGAGATGGCAAGCGTGAGAGCATTGTCAGCACCCTCTTCATCTCCCCGGGAGACGTGGAAAATGGGCAGAGTATTGTATGCCGAGCCACCAACAAAGCCATCCCTGGAGGAAAGGAGACCTCAGTGACCATAGACATCCAACGTGAGTACCAACTGACTCTGTGTGGCCTGACCAGGCCCAGGGTTGGAACCACCCCATGTGGAGAGGTATATATGTGTATATACAGGTGCACCTACCTACGCATACACACAGAGGCCAGAAGAGGGTGTTGCATGTCCTCTTCTACCAACTCTGCCTATTCCTTTAAGTCAATGTCTCTCCGTGAACCTGGGTTTTATGTTTTCTCTGCCAAGCTGGAAGCCTGATGGAGCTTAAGAGCTCCAACAGTCCTCATTTCTCTGTCCCCCTTGAAGCTGGAGTTATAGGTGTATGTGGGATACCTACCTGGTATGAGGGTGCTAGGCTCCAAAATCCCATCCTCGTGATTGCGCAGCAAATGTTTTCTAACTACTGAGCCATCTCTCCAGTCCCCTAAAGTTGGTGGGCTTAATGCTTTCTAACAGCCCTGACTCATTCAAGGCTTCTAGATTCTGTGTGCTAGGCTCTCCAGAGTTATGGGGTTCACAGGAACTGTGCTTAGGGGTCTCAGAGCCTGTTTTGATGGCCAGAGGGCAGAAGTTTCCTCTCAGTGTCACAAATCCTAAGTGGCAGCCTTTGGAGTGCAGAGGAAGTAGATATTAGTTAAGTACTGGGTAGGATTCAACACCCTGGTTAAAGCAGCCCCCACCTCAAGGTGGTTCCTTCTGTTCTTCACTCAGTGATAGTGGAAGCAGAGAGTTCTTACCAAACCCAGGGCTAGGGAGATAAAAGAAGCTGGAGAGAAACACCTAGGGCAATGGGCCTCCATCCCCTGGGCCTGATCCCACCACCCAGCCAGCAAGGTAAACCGCCGTGGTCAGAGAGCAAAGCCCCACTCTGGAAAGGAGGTAAGATGCTCTCTCGGCATAAGGGTCAACATTCAGAACAGATCCATTGCCATGAACTGGATGGCTCTAGACTTGTCACTTCACTCTGGTAATTCCAGTTTCTGGTCTGATTTGCCGATGCCATCTGAGGTCCCTTCCTAGTCTAGGAGTTGTCGAAGCTGGGAGCTCTCTCTCACAAACACAAGCTGAATCCAGGGAGAGTGAAGATGGAAGACACTTTAAGTGTCTAAGTCCCCAGGACAGGAACCAGGACCCTGACAGAGAAAGATGGAGGAGAAACATTTCTGCTTCAGACCACTGTCCATTGACCCATGAGAACATAGTGGCAAGAATGTCGTCATAACAGCATCCCTTGCACATTCAAATACAACCTTCCTCCAGATGCACTCCAGACAGAGGACTAGTTGACCAGTTGACCAGCGTACCTGGATTACTGGGTTCATCTGAAAGGATACAGGAATGAGACCAGCAAGAGACTTAAACCCAGGCATTAGGTTTCCTTGCTGAGATCCTTCCAAGTTAGTACAGAGCAGTGAATAGGGTTCCACAGTCTCCCTAGTTTGAATTCTGCTTTGGCCAGTTACTGATTGGCCTCACTAGTGAATTGGTTTGGGCCTTAGTTTCCTTATCAATACATGAAAGGAGTCACACCTACCTATCTCTTAAGGTCCCAGTTAGGAATGAATGACATCATCCGTGTTAACCCCTAGCATATTTTGATTAAAGCACATGCTGTGGTTGAATACCTCAGTGACAGGTGTGTGCTGACCCTTCCCCAGCGCTCCATCTCCCCTAGCTGGGAGGTGTTTATATATACCTACCAAGGAAAAGCCCAGCCCTTCTCCATGCCTCCCTCCTCCTCCTCTCCTGCCTCCCCTTCCTTCCCATCAGATTCACTTGCTCATTCAGTGAGCATCCAACTGTTTGCAGTGGACACTGCAGGCTGGATCATAGCCGCCTTTGCAAACCTGCTCATTTTCTCAGTCAACCACGAAGTCTCCAAACTCAGCAAAAGCACATTTGTTGTTTGTTTCCCTTGGTCTTTATATGTTACCCAACGGAAGACAAAGCCCCCAGATTGAGTAATGGGAGAGAACACGCAACACCCCCAAAGCCTCACCACATCTGGACTCTGTGTCCAGCTGCCAAGTTTCAAATGGATGTGCTGTAAAATCACTGAGTCATGAAGTTTCCCTCTGCCCCCCCAACGCTTCCTCTGAAAATGCACATGTGCACGCACACACACACACACACACACACACACACACACACACATGCACATGCACACACGCACACAGGTTGCTGATGGAAATACTAGCAGACTCTCAGCTGTAACATCTGTTCAATGTGATCTCAGTTCCACCCTTCTGCAAGTTATGCATCCGACATCTCAAGTGGGATTAAAATCATGTTTAATAGTTGGGTATGACATAAACTATTTATACCTCTGGAATTTGGCAGACTCCTAGAAATTCACATCATGCACACCCTGAGGAGAGGCATGGAAACGGGGACATGGGATCCCTGGCTCTGGGGACATAGATGCAAGTGAAACTGACTGGAGTAGAACCTCCTGGGTCTATTCTCCTGAGTCCCTAGGGACCAAAGATGCTGCAAACAATGAGGAAAGAAGCAGAAGAGGTTTCTACGGGGTGAACTGATAACACAGATGTAAGTGAGCATCCAGCAAGTGAGAACCAGAGAGGGTCATCCAGCAGGTACACGCTCCATCTTCTTGTGCCCCAAGGGATTATCACTTTGTAAAGAACACCAGGTGAAGGATGAGCCTTTGGAAGGCTCCCCCTGAGCTCTGTAAATGGTTTCTAGAGGTTTTTGAACGGACACCATCGTTGCAAACAAGAGTTGGATTGAGATCATCTGTCACCCGCCAGGATTGGATTTCACAGTGCAAGGCTCGCAATGCCCAGGGGTCCAGATGGCAGTTAGCACAGTCAGCAAACTCCTCTGGACAAACTTCTTTACCAGGAGGAGTGGTCAGCTTGGCCAGCCTGCCCTACACAGATCTGTGAGATTCCCGAGTCAGCCTTGCCTGGGAAGCTGCTGGGAAACCACTGGGAAGATGCTGCAGGACTTGCAAGGGGAGGTGGTCCAAGTCTAAGAAGTGAGAGGAGAGTCCTCATGGTGGTCCCTTGAATCTTGCTTTGAGAATCAAAGTTGAGGTGAATGAAATGCCTACCTGTATTACTTAGCTTCTCACCATTTATAGCAAACACATGACATAGTAGAGAGGGAAAAAGTGGTCTCGTTTCACTATTTGGGATGACCCACTCCATAGCCAGAGCCCCATTGCTTTGTACAGGGTAAGATTGTGGGTGGGGTGTGTGCCCCAGCCAAAGCACTTACTTGAGAGCCAGGGAACAAGGGAAAAAGGAAGAGACCGGGATCCCATAAGACACCCCCAGACTTCCCACTGTCTCCACCCCCTCAAAGTCCCCAATTCCCCCTCAATAACATGCCTCTGAAGACCAAGCCGCTAATCCATGACCCATGGCGGGGGAGAGGAGGTTTAAGTTCCACGCTGCGGCACCACAGTGCTCCCTGTAACTCCAAATGAAAAGGTACACAGACCAGCTGCTCCTGTACCTGACGAGGGACGTGTTTACTGTCCTTCTCGAACTAGAAGACAATGCAGGGGGAAGAGCCCCTCAAGCACGGGCGGCCACCTAGTTCTCAGAGATGGGGCTCTTTCCTGGCATCTGCCCATAGTAACACAGCTCAGTCCCTGTGCCCTCACCCAGCACCCAGCATGACAGCAGCTCACAGAATGGACCAGGCAGACAATGATCCCATCCCCCAAACTCCGCCTACAACTCAGGGATGACTCTCAGGACCCTCCTATAGTCCTGAACCAGGAGCCCAGAGCACCAGGATAGAGCATCACTCCCTGGGGTGTCCCTCACAAATATCCTCCATGGCCTCTGGGAAACTGGATTCTTAACGCTGAATCCATAGAAAGTCCTGTGAACTCTGGTTCCCAACCCACGCATTGCCAGGCCCAGGCCCGGGAGATGGAACCTCAGGGTGCTAGTGCGGCCATGGGGACTCAGCGGCCTTCTAACTCAGCATGCACTCTAGTCATGCTTCCAGACCCCACTGAAGAAAAAACCCTGCTGTCGGATGCCAAGGAGCCTGAAAGTGCTGTGCCAAGACTTGGGGTATACTGGGAGCACAGGGTCACGATGAGTCAACCTCTGGCGGCTGGGGTGGGGGGTAGGGGTGAGGTAGGGAGTGAGGGGGTGAGGGGGATGAGGCTGACCACCAGAGAAGGGAAAAGCCAGGCCAACACAAGATCATTCCCTGGGCCTCGATCGACCTCTCTGCATCTGCTGTAGACCCTCAAGTTCTACCAGTCACATCCTTCCGTTCTCCCCAAGTCTCTCTCTCTCTCTCTCTCTCTCTCTCTCTCTCTCTCTCTCTCTCTCTCTCTCTCTCTCTCTCTCTCTCTCTCTCTCTCTCTCTCTCCCTCCCCCATGTTTCTCTGTGTCTCTGCGTCCCTGTCTCCCCCTCCCTCCCTCCCACCCTTTTCCTGTGGTCTTTGTTGTTTTCTGGGCTCTTTCTCCAATGCCCTATCATTTTCTGTGTGTGCTAGCCACCCCCCACCCCCCACCCCCACCCGGCTTTCCTGCTGTCCATTTAGCATCCTTGCGTGGGTATGTGTCTGCACACAGGTCCATCTCACTCTTTATCCCTCTTCCGCCTCCACGTCTTGCTCTCTCCTCTTCTTACCCTTCTACAACCCTCGGTGGGCATGGTGGCGTGTCTCTGCCTGTCTCTCTTGGCCTGTCCACACGCCTCTGTCTCTCTGGGTTCTCTGTCTCTCCCTGTGGTCTTCACTTCTGTCCCCTGTGTTGAATGCCTTGCCACGCCCACCCCAAACCCTTCCGAGTGGTCTCTCTGTGGGCTTCCCCATTTCCCAGTTTCTGTCTCCCCCACCTCAGATCATTTAGCACTTCAGAGTATGGCTTTTTATCACGTCAGAGGAGAAGACAAGCTGCCCCAGCTCAGGATGCTGGGGGCCTGGTGACACCAGTCGGAACTCAGCAGAGATGATTGTGCTGATGAAAGGGTGTAAATGCCACTTTCAAGTTACCAGAGGCCCCACAACCTTTTCTTGGAGATAATAAACAGACAGGAGACTTGTACTGCGGGCTGAGGGCTCCTTCCCACCACTCCCCTCAAGTGGAATGGAGGTTGAAGCTAGGCTGCACACATCCGGGGCCTGGGAAACCAGTGAAACAGAGATGGATGTTCATTTCCATTCAGACCTTGAGTCACAGAGGGACCTGCACCCAGCACCCAGGGCTACTTGAAGCAGCCCACTCTCAGGGAGCAAAGTAGCCCACTGCAGAGGCCTCCCTCACCGCCTGGGGAGCCGCCATGATGGCCACTGGGTGGTAGGAACCCTGTCTTTGCCCCCCCCCATGTCAGCCCGCCCTGTTCTCTTCCTGGTCTGTATTGAACCTCTTCTCCCTGCAGATCCTCCACTTGTCAACTTGTCGGTAGAACCACAGCCGGTTCTGGAGGACAACATCGTCACGTTCCACTGCTCTGCAAAGGCCAACCCAGCTGTCACCCAGTACAGGTGAGCGTCACTGCTGTGAAGACAGCTTGGTCTAAGCCCCCCCTTGCCTGTCACGTGGGATGTCACACATGGCCGCAGGAGGTGCCTCACAGCAGGTGTCCAAATCAACTTCTCCCTCTCCCCATGCCAGCCCCACCTGCTAGCCAAGCAGACCCTCTCTTTCTTTCAAGCTCACATGGCCCTCCTGTTTCAATGGCTTGTTTATCTCAGATTTCTGAAGCGGCAGAGCAAGGCTCAGACAAATGTTGAAACCACCAGAGGAATGAGTAAGTCGGCGTACTTAACACTGTGTAGCAGCCGGTCAGAGCCCAAAGGGAGCCTGGACTCCTGCAGAGCCGCCACCCAGCCCTGTGTCCTCATCCACATCACTGATAAAGGCACCGCATTTTTCACGTGCTTGCCTCTGCCTTCTGACCGAGTTCCTCAGAGGCAAGAACTGCAATTTAGTCACTTACGGCTCTCGGCAAGCACTGCATCGCACTGCACAAACTAGGCATTCCTTGCACGCATCTGACTGACCAAATAACCCTTCGGAGATGCTCCTGCCTGTGCAAAGCACCACACAGCAGCCCAGAAACTAAGTGACCTCAGAGGTATCCAAGCACAGGTGTGGGGTGCTCACTCCGTTAGATGTCTTGTAGAACTTCCCATGACCCTCACTTCCCAGCAGCCGGGCTTGATGGCGTAGCCCAGGACATCACCTCCACTATGGGTACCAGCTATTAAGCTGCGGCTCCTGCAAGCAGCAGGAATGCTAATGGCCCCAGACAAGGAAGGCAATGACTAGGGACATGACGTGAGCGAAGGCATGAGGCCGTGCAGTCCCAGCAGGAGGAAGAAAGGGCAATGGGCCACCGAAGCAGCCACGGCAGGCTCAGGGTGGACACAGTGAACTCCTCTGGCTCCCTGTAGTGAGGCCAGAAATCAGGGAGGCCCACGGCCTCTCTATCCATCACTCCTGAGGTAACCCTCGCTGCACTGGAAGCGAAATCAGACAGCCTCTGATACCCACCCCCAAAGGCAAGGAATCTCCCACTCCCAGGCATCCAGAAGCCCAGTCAGTTCCAGAGGCTGGTTTGGCCTGGATCTGGCACTGTCCAGAAGTGACAGGAGATGCAGAAGGAACTAAAAGAGGCTCTTGTCTCTGGGTTTCTAACTGCACCTGCCGCCTCTGTGTTTCTCTCCTGCCTGCCCCTGGCTCTCAGCTTGAGGTCCCTAGACAGGTATACCCAGGAGACACTTCAAATGCCACTTCCCTTCTCACCCATAAGCATCCCCCACCAGACAGGCAGACATGCAGACAGCCTGTCCACTGGCCGTCACAGCATCCCCCAAGTGCCCATGGGGCCCTAGAGACCAGAACACTCAACTCTCCACTTCCGTGTCACTGCCAGGCTCCCTGTTACCTGAGGGCCTAGCGATCTGTTGACCAAGCAGAGCAGCATGCCCTGGGTAGTCAGCAGCCTCCACTCAAAGACCCAAAGCCTTCAGACCTCAGTCCGGTTCCCAGCTGCTGGGGCTGACTCGCAGGATCACCCTTCTCAAAGACACAAAGGAGAGCCAGGATAGGGAGAAAGAGTGAGCCTACACAGGAGGACATTTCAAAACGCGTGTGATCAAATGCGAGCAGCTAGCAAATGTAGGTGATGAAAAGATGGCAGCTAGTGGGAATTATTAAAACGTCCCTTTCGATTCGAAATTTGAGCTTCTTCAAGCTAACAAATTAATAAATGAACACAGAGAACATGCAATTTCCCTGGGCATGAGAATTCCACATTTGAACTCCCGGACAAGAATGGTCACTGTTCCTATTTGCTACCAATTCTTACGACCTTCTGACTAACTGGTGGTTACCAATACCAGCTTGGGCTCGATCTAGGACTCAAAAGGCCTTGAGAGCCTGTCTGACCCCCAGGAATTGGTGGGAAAGCTGATCTGGGGTGGGCTGGGCTGGGCTGAGCTAGGCTGTGCTGTGCTGTGCTGTGCTGGGCTGAGCTGGGCTGTGCTGAGCTATTAAGTTGAGAAGAGGTTTAGGGATCCTGTTTAGCCCCTTCCCTCCACCAAGGTCTTGCCAGCAACTCACTTTAATTTTCCACATATAGGACCCAGGAGGAAATGCCTTAAGCAATCTATAACATAAGTACATTGGTATTTTTTTTCCCAAATGACGTTGACAAGGTTATAGGGATTTTTGCTTCTTCCATGCGTTCATCTTGATTGCTTCCTCTCTGGTCCACCCAAGAGGCTGTAATCTCTGACATTAGATGTGCACCCTCCCTCAACCCTACCCTGAGATGGAGCTGACTGGGCATGGAAACTGCCTCTGCGCTGCCTGCAGGGAGCCAGGGCCTGGGTTAGTGGACCAGATTTAAGCACAACAAGAGGTGCCCTGGGCTTCATCCTCTGAAGGCGTCTGACAGATAAAAGACCACACTCGCCCAGATAAAGTGTACAGGGCTGTTTGACACACCAAGCTGCAGCTGTGACATGTCGGGTCTCTTGATTCTGTGATATAAATAATTAATCCTCTTACATTTGTTCAGACCAAATTAGACATTGATTGAAAGGGCGTAAGCTGAAGCAGCCCAAGGAGGGCTTGGGAGAGATGGTGATGATGTGGTGGGGACCAGGCAGAGGAGGCCGAGCCACAAACTGAGGGAAAAAAGGAGCTGCTCTTTGGTTCTGGAACCCTGTGGCCCAGTACTGGAATGAGATCCTCTCAGTCTGAGTGCTTCTGGAAGGCCCTCCAACGAGCTGTTTAATGAATGAAGAGAGTAAGAGAGGGGGGAAATGGACTGATAGTCAAGATATGAGCAGAGGGCTCTTAGGGAGTTTGGGGAGAGACCTCCCAAAAAGCCCTGGGTTCAGCCTTCTGAAATTCAGTCCTACAGAAAACTCCCCCCCTCCAACATCCATAATCCTGAAACAGGAGGGTCAAGACACCCTTTCTGCCTTCCCTCCTTTGGAGGCTCCCAGCAAGCTGGCTCTGACTTCTCCCAAGGCAGAAAACTTCCCATGGCCAGCCATATCCTAATTCTTCTCCTTCTCTCCAGTTCCTTTGGGTGAAGAGACAACCCAACTGCTTGTCTCTGTGTTTCTCTCCTGCCTGCCCCTGGCTCTCAGCTTGAGGTCCCTAGACAGGTATACCCGGGAGACACTTCAAATGCCACTTCCCTTCTCACCCATAAACATCCCCCACCAGACAGGCAGACATGCAGACAGCCTGTCCACTGGCCGTCACAGCATCCCCCAAGTGCCTATGGGGCCCTAGAGACCAGAACACTCAACTCTCCACTTCCGTGTCACTGCCAGGCTCCCTGTTACCTGAGGGCCTAGCGATCTGTTGAAGGTACAACCACAGACCTTGGAGTACTGGGTTACAGACCTGCGGGGTCCAAGGAGTCCCAACAATCATATCCTGGGGAGCAGGGCCCTAGAAAGAGAGGGAGGAAGGCTCCATCTTCCCCAGGGTCCCCCAGAGAAAAACAGCCTGCCTGTCTGAACCAGTGACCCCCGGGCACAGATGCAGGCCCAGCCCCAGCTAAGCCCCATGAGTGCAGGGAAAGCTTACCTGGCCCTCCCTGACCCCTCTCAGCTAGTAGCTCCTCTCCAGCCATAAGCCCTCCCTTCAGCAAGGTGGAAGGGATAGAGGCTGGGCACTGATCCCCAGCTGTACGTCTGCAGCAGAATTAATCCACCTCAGGCAGGGGCCGTGCCTGACTATTAAGTCTGGTCATTAAATTAAAGTTAGGAATTGAAACGACTCATGAATAACTCATAATGGTTTGCTTGGGAAGCTCCTTAAGCTCTCAGGGAGCTATGGTTTGCTCTGTTGTTAAACTATAATTGTTATTATTAATTGTGTTCTTAATAGTTACTCGATATTAATTCACGATAACAACCACATGGCGCCCGTCTAGGTGTTCCTCGGGATGTAGAGAAGTGGCCATCTCTCTGGGGCTAGACAGGACACACAGAGCCAAGAGCTAGTGGAGAGAGGGCGGGACAGAGTCAGTGTTGCCAAGGGCCAGGAGCACTGGCGGGAAGGGAAGAAGCAGTGGCCATGGGGAATGGCAAGTCCACGTAACAGCAGAGGGGCCAGAGGCCCTGGAAACACCCCAGGACAGGCTGCAGAGTCCTGGGAGCCTGGCTGGAAGTTGTGTGTTTTCCAGGAGTGAATGTTGTATACAATAAGTTTAAGACAAGGAGCTGTAAATGCTTTCCTCTAGGATTCTGTAGTCTACCTGTACACAAGTACACATGCATATACATTTATATTCACACATGCAAACCTTCATAGGCACACATGCATATGCACCTGCACACATACACAAACACATGCACATACACATGCACACATGCATACCCACACATGCACACATGTACACATATGGAAATGTTCACACCTAGACATTTACTCACCTGCATCATGTACGTGCACACACCCACACACATGCAAATCCCTTACACGAACACATAAGCACATATCCACACTTATATTCATGAAGCTCCCCCATGTACACAGCACACAAGCACATACTTTCAAGTGCACACAGGCAAACCTTCATGTGTACATATATATGTGAAATCTCATACTTACAGATGCATACATGCATACATGCACATATTCAAACTTGCACACTACAAACCCCCTCTTGTACACATATATACATATGTACCTTCACATACTTGCACACAAGCAAACCCTCATGTACACATACATACATGTGGGCATAGATGCATATACTCATACTTACATGGCACATGTGAAATGCCTCATGAGCTTATGTGCATACATTACATGGGCTTTGTGCACATGTCAGTCACCTGGTGGCTGCTCTGAAACAGTGATTCACTACCCCAGGACTAAGACCAAGCCTGAAGCTTGAGACTTTTTAGTCTCTTCCTTACAAAATGATACTGATCAGCTCATAAGGGAAATTTGCTACCCGCTGGTCCCCACCCATCCAGGGCTAATGTGTCTGTGGCCTCAGAGGAACAAAGCCAGGATGGGAGGGCAGAGTTAATGGTAAAATCGAGTGCCTACCCTAGGAAGAAGGCTGGAAAGATTTACAAAAAGATGAGGGGCAGGGCACAGTGAGAGATCTGTGCAGGGGCAGGAGATAGGTCAGAGGTATGTGAGAGAATAACGTAGGGGTTCAACAACCCTACCACACATGTTCTTGTCTGGAAACCAAGCTTCTGTGTGTAGGGAGATGCACACACTCGTGTGTGTAATTACAAGTGTGTATAGGGCATGCATCATTAATCCTCACCTCTGATATCATGTACTTCAGCTCCCTATTTTCCTGCATGGTCCAGGACAGGGCCTAAGATAGAGCTCAAAGCAGTATGGCCAGGCTGTCTGGTGACTGACAGTTGGATTAGCAAATAACCTGGATACCATGGAGAGATCAGTCAGGTAACTCTGTCACCTCCATAGTGACCTACTTGTCAAGTGCCTCTGACTGTGTGGTGACCATGGCTCAAAGCTAATCACCTGCCTTGTGGTTACAAGATCATCCCCTCCTCATTTTCTTGAAGAATGGGTATGTCTAGCTTCCTAAAGGATGCCCCCCATAGACCTCTGGCCTCCATTGCAGGTGGGCCAAACGGGGTCACATCATCAAGGAGGCATCTGGAGAGCTGTATAGGACCACCGTGGACTACACATACTTCTCAGAGCCTGTGTCCTGTGAAGTGACCAATGCCTTGGGCAGCACCAACCTCAGCCGCACAGTGGACGTCTACTGTGAGTGTGGAGACTCAGGAAACCCTGGGGAGCGGGCAGTGGGTGGTGTCCGGCTGAGACTCTGACTAGACTCGTCACCCGCAGTCTAGTGCACCACGCATTGTGTGCTTACAGCATCTCTTAGTATCACTCCTACTTAGATCTTTGACTGGCCCAGTGAGGCAGTACCAGCCCAGAGTGCCTTGAGGGGGCTGGCCGGCAGGAATCAAGAGCCAGTGTGACCCTTCTAGTGCCTTGTATCCCAATCACCTACCAAGGGCTCTGCCTCCTAATACATTCCCAGTGGGGGTTTCAACATAGGATTCTGAGGAGGACACAAGCATACAGTCTGTAAGTATATCCTATTATTCCTATTATCAAAATGAAAGAGATAGATACTCACGTAGACAAAGAGACTAAGTGGTAAGGTGACTTATGACTTAACTGAGGCCACACATTGATCAAACTCATCACCTGTACACACACTCCACTGTCCCACTGAGGGGACTCATAGATAGCCCCCTTGTCTCACCAGTGGCCGAACAGATGAAGCCAATCTACTTTTGAGGACTAGCCAGCTGGATGCATTCCAAAAAAATTACAAAAACCAGAGTGATGACATACACCCATGATCCAAACACTCAAGAGGCTAATGCAAGAGGACTGACTTGAGTTTGAGGCCAAGTAGGGCTACATACTGAGTTCAAGGCCAGCCAGAGATGCTTATCATAGCCATACACACAATCAGCTCACATACTGCTGGTTAGTTTCAAAAGCACTTTCACAAACTTGACATTGCCTAACTCTTGTTCCACAAAGACTCAGCAGATGTGTTATCTTATCTCTTACAAATTGAAACTAGTCTCTGTCTCTCAATTCCAAAGATCAGGCTTTGTCTCCAAGGCCTTCCTGGGCAACTCTCTGAATACTGCCTAGAACAAGGCTTGGTCTATAGGCCAGTATGTTGGAACAGGGCCGAAGTGTCAGAAATGGGGCCAGAAGCTGCTTCTAAAAGGCTAAGAAGGGGTCCTGGGTGTCTTGGATAGGAGACACCCTGAACGTATATGGGAGAAGATACCCTTCTCGGGGTTCCTGATGGGCCAAGTCATTTTAAGTCATGGTCCCAATGCCCAAGGTCTCTAAAGCAGGAGGCTCCCTCAACTTTTCAGATGGGACAAGGACAAAAAGAGGGAGCTGAGAGGCAAATCGGTAGAAATTGGCCTGAGTGCGTCCATCTGTGGCTGGTACTGCCTGCTCTGTGGACCTGAGAAAAAACTGAGCCTGGAGAAGAGGGGTCTCTTCTCATCTCCAGAGTCCCGCTCTCACACCTCAGGTTCAGCCTTGTCAGAGAATCGATATCTCAAGAAGTGAGCTGAGGTGGATTGAGGTGGCTAACCCAGTGCCTCCCTTCTTCCGGTTGGGGTGGGTAAAAAGGAGAAGAGAGCAAGAAGTTTCCCATCCCCTCTGAGCCCATCTCCTCTTTCCTCCCCATTGCAGTTGGTCCCCGAATGACCTCAGAGCCTCAGTCCCTGCTGGTGGATCTGGGCTCGGATGCAGTCTTCAGCTGTTCATGGATCGGCAACCCATCTCTGACCATCGTGTGGATGAAAAGGGGCTCTGGTGTGGTGAGTCCACGGGCTCCAGGGTCCCATGGCAGAGACTGGAGGATAGATCGTGCAGCAAGCAGGAGGCCGTGGGGGGAGTCACTCTCTGTAATAAGTCAAAGGGGTCCCAGAAAGAGGAGCAGGAACTGAGGTACCAACCTGTACCCGTACCACTCTGAACACACTATGCCCAGGGCAGTGTGCCCTAGCATCAGAAAAACTTCTAAACTTGCCCTATATAAACTTACCCTTAGTCTCGGCATTTTGTTTTGGGATCAGGCAGAAGGAACCAACCTTTGGGTAACCTATTAGGTTCTCATAGCTGCGGCACTGGTCCAGGCGGTGCTGCTGCCCCCCGTTAGATGGATGAGCCTCTAAGATAGTCAGTAACTGACATAAACCACGCAGCTACAGTGCTGGGACAGGAATAGCCAGTGTCCACGACTGCATTCATACCATCACCTCCAGCTGTCTCCCAAGGGAATAGCAAGGATGACTCTGCAAACCTGGATTCAAGGACCCTCCGCATTCAGTTGCGGGATAATGTCACCCATGGGCAGCTGGGAGGTTGCTGGAGGGACAGCATCCATCTCTCCACATGAAGAAGCCATGGGTACTCAGTTGGGGGGGTCTCACACTCCTGCCACCACCATGCACTACGTCCACAGGCCTGTATCTGAATGGGGTCTCCATGTGTGTGTTGGGGGGTCTCCTCTCCAGAGCCTAAATGGAACTATCCGCCTCTTACCTCGCACACCACTTTGGTGTTTATAGAGATGCTGGCCTCTGCGTCAGCCATCACCCCCAGGCAGAGGAAGCCTTCCCTTACTCTTTGTGTCTGATCCTCCCCCACATCCTTCCTAGGTCCTGAGCAATGAGAAGACCCTGACCCTCAAATCTGTCCGCCAGGAGGATGCTGGGAAGTACGTGTGCCGGGCTGTGGTGCCCCGGGTAGGAGCTGGGGAGAGAGAAGTGACTTTGACTGTCAATGGTAAGGGCCCCTTGCAAACACGGTATCAGTTGAAGAGTGGTTAAGTGATAAATTTTATCCTGGGCAAGAAAAAGAAGTCGGAGGTCACGGGCTCTTGTGTGAGGCTTTTAGGGTCCTGACCTGAAAAGAGGGTTTGAACCAAGTTCTGGGAATGAGCCAAAGTGACTTTATCTCAACCTAGGAAGCCACCCATGGAAAATCATCTATTCTTCTCCTTTGCTGGAAAACCAAGCCCAGCTTGATGCCCCCCAGCACCCCTCCACTGTCCCCATTACCCGCTTCCTGCCCGATAGTTCCTCTTTTCTCCTGAGAGAGGCAACTGTGGCAGAGGAACAGTCAATCCACTCGTCTGCCCAGCCTCAGAGCATTCACACATCACTTCTCCCAGGCAGAACCCAGACTCCCAAGCCCTCCTGCCTTTTCCTGTGTGTCCCCAGGATGCCACCAATAAATTGGCACTGCAGGGCTAAAAATAACAGCATCTCATCGCGCCTCAGTATATCCATGGCAACCCAGGCTGCAGCCTTTTCCTGCCGCACCAGTGTCTGTCTGACACTCCACGCAGTGAGCCAGGCCACACGGAAATCATCAGCCCTCCCCACTGCCCGCTCTGGGGAGGGAGCTGAGGAGTCAGGCTGCCATGTCTGTTGTCAGCTGTGGCTCGAAGGCTAGGGACCCCCAGACACGCACGTGCCCGCCAGAGTCCCCAAACCTGGAGCTATTAACTGAGCATCCTTGTGTTGGTGTGGGGCAGGAGGAGGGATGTAAGGAGTGGCTGGTGTTCTTACTGTTACTCTTAGACCTTCAAGCGTTTCCTAATGGGAACTTAAAAAGACTTTTGGGGGGAAGGAACTCTTCCTTTGCTCCTGGGAAGTGCACACACCTCAGAGGGACCTACATTCCAGTCTAGGCCCTGGCATCCAGCCAACATTTATCCTGTCCATTTTTTTTTTCTCAGCCTGCACACCTTTCCTAGGCTGCTGGGCAGAGAACAGCTAAAGGAATCAGGAGGAGGAAGGAAACTGCCCCATTTTTTTTTTCTGCTAGTCACACTGAGACTGGGGTCTGGATCAAATGACCCAAAGGGAGGAACCTGCTAACCTCTACCAGGGACGGGACTGTCTGTCCTGCGTGCAATTGGAGAACAGGTGGAGGGGTGGTGAGGCTGATAGACAGGAAAGTGGGTGTCCAGAATGCAGACATCTCCAGCTCTGCCAGCCCCTCCTGTGGGTGACAGCCAGTCCAGTGGCCTTTGGGAAATGAATTGGCTCCGCTTTAACCTGAGTTGGCTCGAAGTCAGTACCCAGCGGAAGGGGAAGATGGCTGCCAACAGCTGATTTGCTCTCTGGGTCCGGTTTCCTTTTTCCTAGTTTTTTTGTTTTCTTTTAAGAAGCCCATAAATGCATATGTATTTGTTGACAGCTTTTAAAGCCCTGTGAACCCCTTGGGGGATTCCTAGTTCCTGGGAAATGAAAGGAAAAGATTTTATGCTATCATCACTTCTCAGCCCAGATCCAAAGCGGAGCAGAGCATTTACCTCGGAATGTAGGGCCGCTGTGGCTTGGGGCCAGAGAACTCTAAGGAGGAAAGCGAGATTCAGCCCATCTTTAAAGCTTTCTGAGGGCAAAGCTCTTACCTTGAAGTCACCTATATCCTGTGCACCAGACAGAGCTATTTCCATTCTCAACTCAGAAACAACTCTCCCAATACCTTTCTCCCCCTTGGCTGAGAACTACTCATAGAAATGCAAATCTGTTTTAATTAAGGTGGTTAATAAACAGCAATTATGTTTGCAGCAATTTTTGTTTTGTTCTCAGCATAATTTTGCCTGTTCTCCAGATCTCTCGCTCTTAGCCATCTTTCCTGTTTGGCAGTCGAAATCTAACCATCACCCCAGGGACTGGGAACATGTGGGAAGTTTCTCATCCCCACCCTCAACCCCACCCTCATCTCTCAACTGCCCAGCCCAGCCCCAGATGTCACCTGTAGATAAGGGGCACTTCACTGGAAGTGTCACCAGACAAGATTCACTCTGGGTGGCATTTCTTGGCTTCCCAGTGTGATGAGACTGGCTCTCAAAAGCAGACAGAGCTCTCTCTCTCTCTCTCTCTCTCTCTCTCTCTCTCTCTCTCTCTCTCTCTCTCTCTCTCTCTCTCTCTCTCTCTCACTCACCACCACCACCACACACACACACTGGGTCAGATTTGCAACTGTAGTTTCACCTGGCCTGGCTCTGTGTGTGTGTGTGTGTGTGTGTGTGTGTGTGTGTGTATGTGTGTGTGTGTGTGTGTGTGTGTATGTGTGTGTGTGTGTGTGTGTGTGTATGTGTGTGTGTGTGTGTGTGTGTGTGTGTGGGGACAAGACAATCAACCACAGGATCTTCTGAGACCTGTATAAGAGTAAGGCTGTGAACTCAGCTAGTACACTTCCCCATTTGCAGGGTAATTCCTGCCCTTGGGAAAGAACAGCACCCCTTTTCTTCCCTTCCTGACCAGCAGACGCCCGGTTTGTTAGGCAAGTGTGCCCTCTGCTGGATAACTGAAAAAATGGCTTGAGTCCCAGCAACGGAGCAAGGTTGGATGGCGTTCCTTCTGCCCTTCCTTGCCCTGACTCCCTTCCCAAGCTCACCACCTCCCTTGTGAAGCATTCCCCGTCTGCAGATGGAATTATCCTCTCTCCTCTGAAGCCAGTTAGTCCTTTATCTGCGCCTCTCCTGTGCAATGAACACTGCTGCCTTTGGTTGGTTACTTACTTCTTCTGGGGAGTCTGACTTGGAAGCATTCACTCATGGTCCCTGGAGAGGTTTATGACTGAATACCTAATTTATCTTCAGGTCCCCTACCTCACACTCTGCCTTGCACGCACAGGCCTTCTGTAAATGTTTGCTGAGTGCTTGGATTTGGTGGATACACTTCTGAACCCACCAAAGAGGGTACTGGCTGGGCCCTAGCCCTTCCTGCCTCCCTAACGTGATGTCATCTTTCCAACAGGACCCCCTATCATCTCCAGCACACAGACCCAGCATGCCCTCCATGGTGAGAAGGGCCAGATCAAGTGCTTCATCCGGAGCACACCACCGCCTGACCGAATCGTGAGTGGTCCAGGGAGGGATGGTGATGAGGGCACCAGCAGCTCACCTACTCCCAGTATCCAGGGGTCACCTCTGCCAAAGTCCAGGCAGCCTGCAAATTGGTGCAGGCTCTGGAGCTTCCCTTCCCTCCATAGGAGGAGATGATACCTATCTGTGTCTTGAGAATACACCCTAAAGATGAAATAAGGGAAGGCATCCTCCTGTCTCGGAACAGGCAAGCTTGAGGGTGCTCATGCCTCCAAGTGCCAGCATTCATGATTCAAATTGAATTAGGCATCCTGAGTGCAGAGAGCAAGGGAAAACAGCAGAGGGGAGGGGCAGCCCATTTCTTTTCTTTCTTGGCCTCAAAGCCAGTGAGATAAATTTGTAAACTCGATGCAGTTTACAGTCATCCATCTCTGTGTCTCCCAGAATCATCCTCTCCAGGCTCCTCTGCTCCTAATGCCCAGGGGATACTCTGTGCCTTCCAGATCAAAATGTTCCCTCTAAAATGGCCACTATATTATCCTTTCCTCCTCCAACCTCTCAGCCTCTAAGGCAGACCAGACAGACACCTTCCCGGGCTCACCATCGTTTGCATGATGGTGTTTGCATTCAAGAAAGGCTTACATTGTCTGATTTCTTATCATTGTGCGGGCAGAACACAGAGGTGGAATAAATGCCAAAGCGCGTGAGTGGGGATCAGAGGCCGACTTTGTGGAGTCCGTTCTCTCCTTCCACACTCACATAGGATTTGGAGATTCAACTCAGGTCATCATGCCCACGTGGCAAGCACCTTACCCACTAAGCCATCTTTTTAAACAGATGATTTTGTACCCCAATCAGTCTAAAACTGGCAGCTGCTCCAGTATGAAAACAAGGAAAAAGTGAGCATTTTGTAGCACTTCTGAGGGAAGTGTTGTTTTAGTAAGCACCGTGACGGTGTCTTAGTGACTTTATATTACTGTAACAAAACACCAAGACCAAGGTAACAAAAGAAAGCTTTTCATTGAGCTTACAGTTCAAAGGATTAGAGTCCATGATGGCAGAGCAAGGACACAGCGGCAGGAACAGTGGAGAGCCAGGGAGCCCGCTAGTCTTTCTGAAACCTCCAAGCCTGCCCCCAGTGACCCACCTCCTCCAACAAAGCCTCACTTTCTAATCCTTCCCAAACAGTTCCACCAGTGTGGATCAAGTATTCACACTCCACAGTGTGACAGTCCTGGAAGACTGTGGCTCAGCTGGGCACTGCTCAAATAAGAGCCTGTGTGCCAGAGATGCTGCCTGGTAAACTAAGACATTGTTAAAGGATTATTGCTATTAAATGTTGTCTCAGGCATCTGATTCATTTGCTGTCTGAAAGAGTCACATAAAATTGCAAATAATTGCACATAGTAACTATTACCTATGTCTCCCCACTCACTCTTTAGTTTTTTTAATTATAAATCTAACACATGGCCATTGTAAAAGATCTCCTTCAATCACCCTTGAGCATTGTTATGCCATCTTTTTCTTTATAGTTATTTATTTCTAGTCTAGTGGTTCTCACTAGGTTCCCTAGCAGCATCTAGCAGTATCTGGAGACCTTTGTGTTTTCCAAAAGGTGAGGGGTGCTAGCCTTAGTGAGTAGAATCAAGGATGCCACAAAGAACCCCACGCCAGGAAGGATCTGGTCTAGATCGAGGGAAGCCAAGCTCTGACTTATCTTTTGGCACTGAACATGGAGTAAGGTTATGCATAAGGTACATACAAAGGCATCCCTGTAAATAAACAGAGTTGGAGAGGAGATGATGGCACATACCCATAAAATGATGTGATGGTCCACACCCATAATCTCAACAGTGGGAGGAGAAAATGGGTGGATAAGCAGTTCAAGGCCATCTTGTTACGATAAGAGGTGGAGAGCAGTCTGGTAATAACCTGTCTTAAAAAAGTTGTAAGTCACTGTGAACCATCTCCCCAGGGTTCAGCATTAGGGAGTACTGGCGAGGAAGCCCAGACAGGTGGCCTTGGGGAGGGCTGCATTGCTGCAACAAAGGGTCCCTCTTGGCCAAAAAGATGTTTCCAGTTCAGAGCCACACAGGGTGCCCTTCAGGGAAAGAAATATGCTCTGAGGTGCCCCCAACCTATGTGGGTATACTTGTACATGGTCAGTAATATATACAGTGTGTGTGTGTGTGTGTGTGTGTGTGTGTGTGTGTGTGTGTGAGATGTGCTATATGCTGTGATGCATGTATACGTGTGGCATGTGTGATACACATGTGCAATGGTGTGTGTATATGTTGGAGTGTATGTACATTAATATTAACATGTGTTCTTGGTATGTGTGATATGGTATGATTGCACAATGTGTTATGGTATGTTTATGTGTGCATGCTGGTAGGACTCAGTGTCTGATATGCTATTGCATGTCATGGTGTGTGCATATGTAGATGTATTTGAGGTATATGTGGTTTGTGATGTGTGTATATAAACATATGAATGTTTGTATATGCATATGTGATATGGTATGATGAACATATGTGGTGTGGCATATGTTTATATGGTGTGATGTATATTTATGTGTACTGAGGTACACATACACATGCGCATTATGATGTGATATGGTATATGAGTTCCTCTGAATATGTGACTTGTGTAGTGTGCATGTGTACAGAGGTATTTGTGGTATTTGTGCTTGTGTGCATGCATGTGTATTATATGTTGCACATGCATATTTATTTTCATAGTACATGATATAGTATGTATAGATATCATGTTTGCACATGCTGATATGTGTGTGTTGAGATTTTCTATGTGTTTTATAATGCACATATGTGTGCGTGTTTGTCATGTGAGGTATGTGCATGCACACTTATCAGTGTGAACACATACTGGTCATATGTTTGATATGATGTCTATGTACATGTATAATAATGTGTTTGTGTGGGTTGTTTATATTTGTGATGTGTGTTTAGGTTGGTGGTGTGTGGCAGTGACTGTAAACATGAGCATATAGCTATGTCAGCATCTTGGAGTGATGACACCCTGGTCCTCATATGGACACTCCTAACCCTGCACAATCCGGCAGGCCTGGTCCTGGAAGGAGAATGTGCTGGAATCAGGGACATCAGGGCGCTACACGGTGGAGACAGTGAGCACCGAGGAGGGCGTCATCTCCACGCTGACCATTAGCAACATTGTGCGTGCTGACTTCCAGACCATCTACAATTGCACAGCCTGGAACAGCTTCGGCTCTGACACAGAGATCATTCGACTCAAGGAACAAGGTGAGAACTTTCAGGGTGCCCAGGGGACCAGGGAATACAGGCCAGACCCAAGGGTGAGACATAGTACTCTTCCTAAATGCTACACAGACTCACATAGCTACCGTTTGCAGCAAGGGACATTGGCCCCAGCAAGGGAACACAAACTGCTCTGAGTGATAGGCTCTGAGGCTGTGCAGGAAAGGGTGACCACAGAGTAAGCTCATGGCGGTGATAAACACCCAATGGCTTCTAAAGACCCTGGCTTCCACACATTCTGCCCAAGCATGGGCCAAAGCTAACACTGAAGAGCAGTACTGCCAATGTGAGGGGGTGGGGGCTGGGCTTGGAGCTCCTGCACCCCCCAGAGACACCTGGACCCCTGTACCCTAGAGGAGACACAGCCTAGTTCTGGAGCACAGAGCAGCTGGATTTTGAGAGAGGAGGAAAGAGGAAGTAAGCTTACCTCACCATGACGCATCACGATGACCCCATATACCCCTTGCTTAGCTCCTAAGCTTAGCTAGGAATTTGGACTCATGCTGCTTATGGTGGTGTGTGCCTGAACTCTGAGTTACACAGTACACTGAGATCACAGGATCACTTGAGGCCACACATTCAAGACCAGACAGCAAGCCCTCGTCTCAGAACAAACACTGGAACTCCAGTCTCCATTTAAAGTTCTCTGGCTCAGACTACCAAAGGGAAAGTCTCAGGAAGATGAGAGCCAGGTCAAAGAAGTTCACTCAGCACATAACAGCACCACACTAGGTCCCAAAATAGGCTACAGATCATCCCTCTCGGCCAGTCAGTGCCCAGTCCTGGGGTTTAGGAGCGTTGTTCAGCAGGCCTGGGCCTCTGAATCAAAGGTTGGAAGCCCAGCGAGTAGTCCCAGGCAGACCCCTCAAGCCTCAGTCAGTCAGTCATGAGGTGGCCATGCTCGCACCTACATATCAAGTGTCTCCAAACACCTCTTCCTAATAGATGCTGCTTTGCATAACGCTTTGTATATGATTTGCATAATACCATCCACACATCATCCAAACCTCCCTGGCCCCCTGTTGCCTACCCTCTTTGTCTTCCCCTTGGTGCCCTTACTCCTATATAGTCCTCCCCACCCCTAGAACCTTCCCTCCAGGTTTGCCTTTTCTCTATCCCTACCCCTGTTCCGGAGGGCCAAGTCAGGCTGAATGAACCCAAGTTCAGTTGGGGGAACCTGGATCTATGTGACAGCCCCAGAGACATGACAGCGGAGGGAATCTCCCCTTTCACCCCTCCAGGTGACCAATTCCCTGTCCCACCCCACCCTGGCCAGTCAGGCCCTGGCTGTGGACGCTTGCTTTATTTCCAAACAGGTTCGGAAATGAAGTCGGGAGCCGGGCTGGAAGCAGGTACGGAAGGAGCCGATGAGAACTGCCCGGGATGGAGGGAGGGACTCTTGGCTAGTAGGGGAGGGGCTCAAAAGGGGGCAGGGAGGCTGTTAAGTTCTCTGTCCTCCCCAGGTCAAGGGCTTAGTGAAGCCAGAGCAGTGGGAGAGGGGCTCCCAGCAGCTGGCGTCCAGGGACCCCAGACACCTGCCTGATCCCACAGCAGCCCAGGGCTCCTTCCTCCCCAGGACACAGCTCTTGCTCCGCTCCCACCCCTTGTCCTGAGAAGCCCTGGTTCCCATCCCTGCCTTGGCCTCCCCCTACTTCCAGGTCCTCCCTGACTCTGCTCCTTGGCACCATCACCAGCTCAGCATTGCTCCCCAGGGGCCTGTGGCCTATTTCATCCATGCTCGCTGCCTCACCACCTCCCCTGCTCCCTGTATCCCCCATGGAAGCATCATCTCATCATCAAGTCAAGGCTGCTGGACACTGCCCCTTCAGGGCTCCAGCATCAAAGTGGTTATCAAGCTGAGGGGTTGATCTGCTGCATCTATACAACTGTCCCCTCTGTACCCCCAGGCAGGACATTAGAGGAGAACAGCAGGACTTGGTGAATCCTACTCTGCAGGGCTGGCCAAAGGCATAAGGGTCCTCTGTCTCAATTCTCTGCCCACACTGGTTGTCTGGCCTGTGCCACTCCTTTAATTAACTGCATATGGAGCCCACACCCCCCACTCCCCGGACACACATGCTCTTCTCAGAGTACCAATCTAGATCATAAGCATCCCACAGAGGCCCCTGTGGTCCATCCAGAGGTGGCATGCAATTATCTGCCACCTAAATCTCCAGATTCTCTAGAAGTCCAGGTCCTGTGGGGGCACTGGTCCTCTCCTGTCTCTGTTTCATACTCCTTCCTCCTTCAGTGACTAAGACCCATCAGACCCATCTCCTTCCTTAGATGGAAAGGACCAAGCAAGGGAACCCCTCTCCAGTCCCTCCCAAAGGAATGTTCTGTCCAGAAAGAAATAGCTTTTAAAAGATGACATATCAAACTTTGAGAGGCTAGCAAAGGAGGAAACTTACTGGGACCTGGCAAGTGATGCCACCTGGGAGCTACCTACCTTCACAAGTCCCTTCTCGTCTGCCACTGCCTACCCAAGATGCACTGACGCCCTGCTGTTAACAGTTCAAGAGAATGTGGACTCAGAGGACACAAGTCAGCTTTGACCATCATTCTGTTGCCTCAAGACTCTGAGTTATGGATGAGAAGTTGAAACCTGGGGATTTTAAGGGAGTATGCATTGGCTCTGAGATGAGCTGAGATACCCCTGAGTTTTCCTAGTAGACTCCCAGGAGTGCTAGATCCAACACAAAACACATTCAAACCACAGAACCTACAAGATTTAACCAGGAACATCTGTTTGCCAAAGGCAGCTTGGCAGAGATCACATCTTTTTTGTCCCCCAGTCCTGATTTCTGAGCCCAACCCCAACACCTCCCCTTTCAATCCTTGAGATATGCCATTCTTACCTCCTCTTGGCCACCTCCTGTCACCTCTGCAGTAGGCTTGGCCACTAATAGGTAGGTAACAAAAGAGTTTAGTGTGAATCCTGGGGTGGTGAGACACCAGGTCTGTCTAGTAGGTGTCCCCACACCCACACTTCACAGCAACAACTCAGGGAGCAGAATGTCAGTGTGTCTGTCTCTAGCAAGCAGGGGTCAGGGTAGCACAGCACTCACTTAGGACGCATGAAACCCTGAGTTTCATTCCCAAAACTGCAAAAGAAAAGAGAACAGTGATGTTCTAGCCACAGCTCCAGAGCAAACACCACGACGCCCTCGGAGGGTCATCCAAGGCGCCACACCAGTGAATGTGGGTGGGGAAGCAGCTCAGGCATTCAGAGGGATTTCCTCTCAGTGAAGGCTTTTGTCCGCTACTGTCCTCCCCACACACAGAGTAAATGGAACAAATCCTTGATGAGAGCTGGGCCCCTGGCTCTACTCCAAGACCTTCCCTCATGTTCTTTCACCTAAAGCTCATAGTAACCTCTGAAGCCACGCTGTCACTGCTCCCTTTTACAGATAAGAGGCACGGAATAGCTGCTTGGAAGGTGTGGGGCACAGTGAGAGAGCAGCAGGGGCTGTGAGGGGCGCATGACATTTGGAGGACACCATGTGACACAGAGAACAGAGCAGGAAGGGGTGGGGAGAAGTATGAGGAGACCTGGGTCGACCTCGTTCACACAGCAGCAGCAACACATGTCCTCGAAAAAGTCACTTGAGTTCTCTGGACTTTAGTGTCTTTACCAAATAAGAGGCTTGGGTTCATCCAATTTCACCCTGCCTCAGAATTTCCTAGAGCTGTTCCTGGCAGACTGCTCCGGATCTAAAATCATGTGCCCAGGGCTCACAGGAATCCATAGAAGGGGCAGAGCTTTTTGGAAAACCAGTTTCCCTCCCCCACATCATCACCTACCATTCTCGCCCATTTGGCAAGAGCCAGAGACAAGCTGGGGAGAGAACAAAGAAGGAGCTCTGGGCCCTCTGGGGCTGGAACGGGTGGTGGATGTTGGAGGGTTAGCTTGAAAACGAAAGAGCTGCTTGGGGAGGTCAAGGGAAAAGAAAGGATCTTCCTCCTGAGCACTGTGATGGAGCTCCCTGGTCCCAACACTTGTACATGTATGTGGCTTGTGGGCCCTGATTCCCAGCAGGCCGGAAGGGGAAGTTGCCTCAGAACTGAAAACTCTGAGAGTTGGTTGTCTGTATGTACCCTCCCTGTGCCACAGAAAGGGAAGGAAGGAACTGAGCAAACAAGGGCAGGGACCATCACCGTTTTTTTTTTTTTCAAAGAAAAGCCATGGACTTATGACTCACCAGCCACTGCATACATAATAGATCCCTTCCTTAATGCTGAAGGGAGCCACGTTAGGCCGCATCTCCAGTTTTCCTCTCCCAGACCCTCCACTGCCTGGTCTAGCATCTACCCCTTCCCATGGCTCCTCTCTGCTCTCTACCTACCCTGTGTCCTCTACCCAGTCTCAATATTCCTATCCAGAGATGACCCACCCCTATTGGACCATCTGTGCCTGCCCAGGCCCAACCAAGGCATTCCCAAGGAGAGCCCGCATGGCAGTGGTCTGGCCCCAGCTTGAAAGGGGCTGTACCTGGGGGACTGGGTAGGGTCCTAGCGGGACAGCAGATTTCCTTGTCCCTCATCAGCCTTATCTGTTTATTTCCCACAGAGTCTGTGCCAATGGCCGTCATCATCGGGGTGGCCGTAGGAGCTGGTGTGGCCTTCCTCGTCCTAATGGCAACCATTGTGGCCTTCTGCTGTGCCCGTTCCCAGAGAAGTACGGGAGGGAGACCCGGGATCTCAGGGAGGGGGACAGAGAAAAAGGCCAGGCTTAGACTGCCCAGGAGAGCAAGTAAGCAGGAATACAACGAACAGGGGTCATAACAGTGTTGTGAGCTCCTGGGGCAGGGATGGGTATGACGGACCATTATACACCTGGAGGGTGTCTGGCAGCAAATGGGAACTCCACTGAGGTTGAACCAAACTCAGCTGGCCTCCATCTAGCAGGACAGGCCACTGGTGCTTTGGGTTGGGCACATAGCACTCATATTTTGGGTGTATAGAAAATCTCGGAGGGAATGGGGTGGTTTGGCCCTCCTTGCTCTGCTGACTGCTAACTTAACCTAAAAAGCAAGTCACCCACACAGGGCACGAGAGCGTGTGAGGTGTTGCTCCGGACACACTTTTGAAGATCTTTCATCAGTAGCAATACAGTTCCAGTGCCAGCACACTCTTAAAGAATTGTGTTTACAAGGGCTTCCAGTCCTGGGCACAGCTCTAGAGTTACATGTCATTGGCAGATGTAAGGGAAAAGTAGGATGGCTGAATTGAGCTGAAGATAAGAGAGGTGCAATCTTCTATGCTGTGATCCTGGGCAAGTCACGTGTATTTAAGGCCTCAGTTTCCTCATTTGTGATATTAGAGTGGTTGGATGGCATGACTTTTATGACTCCAACCAACTCTGAACTTTTAGGATCAGAATTCACTGGCATCCTTCACTGGTTGAAAGGAAGCTACTGCTTCCCCTCACATATTCTCCACTCCCAGCTGAGCAACCTTACCAACAGCCTTACCCACCAAGGTAGCCTTACAACCTCCCATGCTGCCTGTCCATGGAAATGATAGGAGAGCATATTTCAGTCAGATGTGTCTAACAGGCGGCTCCTGTAGTTCAGGGAAGCCAGACCTCTGTGTGCTCTGGACTGGATAAGAGACCTTATGATCGTTTTCATTGTTAAGTTTTGTGGTCCTACAAATAGAGAGCTCAAATCCAGGTAGAGAAGGACAGAGAAGACTTTTCTCGGAGGGAGTGGGGACTCAGGATGGCAGGGCCTACCTAGGTGAGGTGAAGGGATGGATGAGGACAACCTCTCCACCCACAGAAGATACTGACGGTCCTGCACCAAGGAGCTTGGAAACCTGCATGGTCAGCCTTTGGGGCCCATCCAGCCAAAAGTAGATTCCCTACAGAGGTCCTGTGGGTGGGGAATCCTCAAAACTTCAAATTCAGAGTCTGGTGGGGAGAGTCAATCCGGAGGTGGGGATGGGGGAGAGGGGTGGCAGCAGGGGGCTGTGGGGAAGTTGACATCTCTTGCCTGAGGTTGAGAACTGATTTCTTTGTCTACACTTTCCTATCTTATGTCCAGATCTCAAAGGTGTTGTATCCGCCAAAAATGATATCCGAGTGGAGATTGTACACAAGGAGCCAGCTTCCGGTCGGGAGGCTGAAGATCACACCACCATTAAGCAGCTGATGGTAAGAATGATGCCCGTACCCCACTCCATCCTGAGAACAGAGACTCTTTGATGTTCTCCATACTGCCGAGAGGCAGTGCATCCAGGCAAACCCCTCCTGCCCCAGGCATACACTCAGCCAATGAGCATTTATCTGTGCCTCTGTGAAGTTATATGGGAGATTCAAGTATGATACAGTCCCTGACCTGGATCCTGACCAGGGTAAGAATCTGTGTTTAAATTTACATGTGTGTCTACATGCAGTCTTTACACACACACACACACACACACACACACACACACACACACACACGGTTTTCCAGAAGCACGGGTTCCTTCTTGGGAACTGGATGTCCACCAGAAGCAAATGCAAAACTCCTCCAGCAACACCAAGCCAGCACCTCCTCTTCCTGATCCTCCCTTCAAGGACCAGAATCCTGCTCACTGTCCAGGCAGAAGCCTAATCACCTGTGCCAGGAGTTCATAGAGCTCACTATCCATGGTGGGAATGTCTGGGAACAGTGACAAGAGAGCAAGGAATAAACGACATGGGCTTCTCTGAGCCTCAGTCTGTGAAATGGATGTGAGCACAGTAATTTGCAGGGTACATATGGGCTACAGTGGAGTCTTCTCTTGATGCTGTGTGGAATTTGGTCCCATGACTCACAGATACCCAAATCTGAGGATGTGCAAGCCTCTTGTATAAAATGGTATATAACATTTACACAGGAGCTACCTGTATTCTCTCATATACATAAATCATCTCTACTTTGTAATATGTAATGGAATATAAATGCAGTGTAAACAATTACTGTACCGTATTGTTTAAGGATTAATGAGTAAAATATACATGTTTGGTACAGGCAAATTTTCCCGAGATTTTTTTTACCTATGGTTGGTGGAATCCACTATACAGAATCCAAGAATGCCGAGGCGCCTGCCTGCAAGGGTCTAACTAAGAACTGCTAACTATTGTGGTGCTCTAAATTCACCCACTAGGTGGGGAGCAACTACTGCCTTATTCATCCCTGGCAGAGGGTCACAAATGTTTGATGAACGGAACTGACATTTCTCTCTGCTACACTTTCTCTAGTCAATTGATTTACCGAGTCCGTCAATTCTGCTTCAAAAATAAGTCTCAGATATGTGTCTCACCTCTCCTCCACGGTCACTTCCTTCTCTTGGTCCTTGCCAGTGCTCCCTGGGCCATTGCAGCAACCCCCTAATGGAACGTGGCTTTGGCCACTAGTCACAATCCAGCCTCTGTGGCCCTGCAAAAAGTGTCTTTCTGAAATACAAACCTGGCAGCACACACCTGTAACCCCAGCACTCAGAAGGTAAAAACAGAAAGTAGTAGCTCTGTGACTGTGAGGCCAGCCTGAACTAATTAATGAGAGTCTGCCTCAAACTCAATAAAATATTAAATGTAAATCTGCTCCTGTAACAATCTACCGAAGTCCCTCAGTGGCTTCCACGTCTGTTGGATGAAGCCCAGCTGGCCAGCACCCCATCACGCCCTTTGCTGCAAGACACCTGCCAATCTTTCCAATTCCATCTTCTAGCCCAACAAATCTGGCATTCCAGACATAAGAACGGGTGATTCTTGATCTGGGAGTTCTTTACATATCAAAGACCCACGCCCCCTCTCCCTGTTGACACGGCTGCTAAATTTCACATCCTGCAATAAGAAGTGGTTCAAATGCCACCTACTGCAAGATTTTTCCGGCCTGCCCCTCCTCACACAATGGCAAGCTGTGCACTCTTTGCTGCACTCCCCTTGAGCCTCTTTGACAGCCCACTGCCGGAAGACAAGGAAACCTCTCCAAATACTCTGGAGATTTTCAAGGGCAAGGGTCACGTCATGTATTTCCCCTGGGGCCTCCTTAACACAGCACCTGATATAGCAGAATGTTCCTTCACACAGAAGGAAACCCACATCCCAGACCTGAGAAGAAATGATGCTACTTAAGCTTCATCAGGTCCACCCCTCATGCCTAATGGACCCTTTAGTTCTCTCCCAAGGAGGCTTTTCTTTGTCCCAAAGTCAGGTCCTCGGGAAGAAGACAGGTATCCCTGAGTATTTGGGAAAGAGCAGAGAGGTAATTTGGCAGAAGGGACTTGCTGAGGCACTGTAACTAGTCCCTCCCTTGGGAAGATATATTCACTGGTCCCCCTCCTCCACACTGAGATATCTTATTCCCTATTATCTGGGAAATACTCCATCATCAAGGGGAAGTAGGCTTAGACATTGTATGGGGGCGGGGAGAACAACAATCTAGATGGAATCAAAACATTTACTGGAAAAATGAAAAATAAAAGTAGTCAATTAGTGAGGAAACAACAGGATGCAAGCCCGTTCTGTAGGCCTCCAACACTAAGAAGTAAGAGAGACAAACAAAAACCCCACTCAAAGGGCTGGGTGGGGCCTGAACTGGAGTACCACTGCCGGAGTGACTGATGCATCTTGTGTCTCGGGAGGCATCCCTGTGTTCCCCGATCACTTTTTAAATTCACTCTGCACCTTGGAAGCCTTGTCCTGATCTTACATCTAATCTTTACTCTCTGCAATTGAGAATCCAGCTGCTCACTCATTCACAAATACCAAACACTGCCCTCGCCCTGGCCAGAAGCATTCTAGTCAGTGACCACCACATACAAGGTCCTAAACCAGTTGTGATGGGGATTTGAAGAGAACAAGGTCTCTCCCCCCAGGCTGTTTGGCATATGTTAAGGTAGGCAGTTTCTTGGTGAATTTGAGTCCCTGCTGCATGGGACAGATGTGACCTATTGTGTTAGTCAGCTTTTTGTGGCTATGACAGATACTGAGAAAATGAGGGCTATGGGGGAATGGCTCAGTTGATATGATGGTTTGACCCACAAACATAAGGACCTGAGTTCAATTCTCTCAGAATTCATGTGAAAAAGGCTTGTATCAGTAATCCCAATCGTGGGGAGGTGGAGATAGGAGGCTGCATTGAGCTTACTGGCCAGGCTAGCTAGACTGGTGAGCTCTGGACTGTCTCAAAAAATACAATGGAACATGATTTTAAAAGATACCCAGCGCCAATCTCTGGCCTACACACACACACAGAAACACACTCACAACGTATTCACACAAGAATACGTATGCAACACACAAGAAGAAGAAGAAGAAGAAGAAGAAGAAGAAGAAGAAGAAGAAGAAGAAGAAGAAGAGGAAGAGGAAGAGGAAGAGGAAGAGGAAGAGGAAGAGGAAGAGGAAGAGGAAGAGGAAGAGGGAGACTTGGGCAAAAATTCCAGGTCAAGTTGAGCTACAAAATGAGTCCCTGTCACATAACAGCAACAACAAAAACCAACACTGGTGAGGTGACTCAGGAGGGGAAAGCCAATGACACCCAAGTCTGACAATCTGTGTTTGAACCACAGAACCACAGAGAAAAGAGAGAGCCTACTTCCGAAAATTGTCCTTTGATGTCCACACACACACACTGTGATATATCAGGGCTTGCACACACAGAGATAGATTAATTAAAAAGTAAAAGAGGAACGGTTTCTTTTGGCTCATGGTTTCAGCCCATGTTCATGGGTCCTGATGCCTTCTGACCCATGTCAAGGCAGAACATCACAGCCCAGCATGCCTCTGAGAAGACTCTGCCTTATGCTGGCCAGGAAGCAAACAGAGACAAGAGGGGCCAGGGTTCCAGTGGCCTCTTCTAGGGTCACCTCCAGTGACCTCCCTTCCTTCTATGAAGCACTACCTCGTAACAGTACCACATGATAAGTACCAAGCCTTGACCACATGGCCTTTGGGGGGGATAGCTCAGATCCAAACCATAGCACCTGCATGGCCAGCATCTTGATGGAGATTTCTTCCAACAACCCGGCCTGCTTAACAGACTGCCCTAAAGAGCCTGCTCTATATGCAATGTGATATTCTGGGATTACTTAACTACCTCTATCTCCCTGGTGAGCAGAGCTCTCCATCTTTCTGCATCTCACTCTGTATATAAAGGACCCAGAGTGCATGATCTGGCCAGGCTTTCTCAACAGACATTCAAGTGAGCAGTCTGGAGAAGATGTCCCTGCCCAATGGAAGAACACGCTCTCCTGTCTCTGTCCTGGGACAACAGTTCCCAGAGCATCACTGAGCTCTGGGATTGCATCCTCACTCCTTCACCTGCCTTTCTGCAGTCTAGACTGCGCAGGGGACACATACGGAGCTCATTTCTTCATCTTCTCCTGGGAGGAGGTGGCGTTGAGCCCACCTTCTCTGCACTGAGTAGCCATTTTTGGGTTGTAGATGGACCGGGGTGAATTCCAGCAAGACTCTGTGCTGAAGCAGCTGGAGGTCCTCAAGGAAGAGGAGAAGGAGTTTCAGAACCTAAAGGTAGGAGTGGCCGTAGTGGGTGTGGACTGCAGAGAGGATGATCTCATGTCTTATGCACACAAAGAACCACATCAAGCAGAGTAGAAGGACTCAAGGCCAACCTGGAGACAGGTGTCACCAAGGGGGAGGGGCTGAAGGCAGCTGCTCTCCTTGCCCCTGAGTTAAGGCTGGATTGCTACAATTCTCCCCTCCCACAGCCTTGTAACACACAGATTGTAAAGGGGTAGTACGTGCCTTTAGTCCCAGCACTCGGGAGGCAGAGGCAAGAGGATCTCTGTTAGTTCAAGGCCAGTCTGGTTTACAGAGGGAGTTCCAGGACAGGTTCCAAAGCTACACAGAGAAACCCTGTCTCAGTGTTCATGTTCTGGACAAACATATAAAAACAATTAAGGCTGCCTTTCGAATGATCTTGCACTGCCCAGATGTAAACCAGGTCTGGAATAGCTTCACCTTCCCTCCTGACAAATGATCACATGCCAGGCTCTACTAGCATCCCTGCCATGCTAACCCCTCCTGTATTCTGGTCAGTACCCTTGCTTCCCAGTCCTTCCCTCCTTCCATGCCTCCCCTGTGCAAAGTAGCACTGGTCAGCCAAGCCTCCTGCCATAGCCAGGGAAGGCTCCATGGTGAAATGCCTCTTGTTCTTGTCTACCCAGGACCCCACCAATGGCTACTACAGCGTCAACACCTTCAAAGAACACCACTCAACCCCAACCATCTCCCTGTCCAGCTGCCAGCCAGACCTGCGTCCAACAGGCAAGCAGCGTGTGCCCACAGGCATGTCCTTCACCAACATCTACAGCACCTTGAGTGGCCAGGGCCGCCTCTACGACTACGGACAGCGGTTTGTGTTGGGCATGGGCAGCTCTTCCATTGAGCTTTGTGAGCGGGAGTTTCAGAGGGGCTCCCTCAGCGACAGCAGCTCCTTCCTGGACACGCAGTGTGACAGCAGTGTCAGCAGCAGTGGCAAGCAGGACGGCTACGTGCAGTTCGACAAGGCCAGCAAGGCCTCTGCCTCCTCTTCCCATCACTCCCAGTCCTCTTCCCAGAACTCCGACCCCAGTCGACCCCTGCAGCGGCGGATGCAGACTCATGTCTGAGGATCACACACTGTGCAGGGACGGGCCAGGGAGGAGGACGGGGACATTTTTGTTCTCCAAGGACTGGGGCTACTTTGCAGAGGACCCTAGAACTGGCCACCTCCAGGGTGACCCCCAAGCACCTCTGTTACCACCTTGCTCCGAAGCTCTAATCAAGCACAAACCTGTCTCCCGCGTGGGACATGAAGAGGATGCAGCCGAGTGCACAGTGCTCAGGGCTTTGTCCCTTGCTCTTCCCCAAAGGTTCCTCAGCCACCTTGTCCTCCCACAGGCACTAGGGGCAGCTAGAACTTGGCTTTTATGAAACTGCCGTCCACTCTCCTAGCTCTTCTTGCTGCCCATAAGCCATCCCTGGTGCCTGTATCACCTACAGCTTTGGGGAACAGAGGACTTCTGCCCAGCACTGAGTTGCTCCAGAGACCCCAGCTTCCGCACTGTGCATAGCCCATACCACAGAGGCTGAGGGCTGAGAAACGACCCTGGCCAACGGAGCATCTGCCTGGGAGCCCACCTCCAATTTGTTTGGTGTTTTTGTGTCTATATTCTGTTCTTGAACTTGATGCCTCTGAGCTTGGCGGTGGGACTGGCCCATCAGAGTCTAGTGTCCTCGGAGTTGAGGGAGGGGGAGGAGGGAGGATGTGATGCCTGGAGAACACCTGGCCCCACACACCCTGTGCCAGGCTGTACGATTCGAAGCCGTTGCCCTCATCCTTACCCCTGCTTTGTGTTCTCCCTTCCTTCCCGCAGCACAATCAAGCTAGTATAAGGAGTGTGAGAACTTCTCTGGCCAGGGCTTGTTGAGCAGTTATTGCAGAGTGCTTCCTGGGAGGTGTGGACTTGAGGGGGCTGAAGTACAGGCTGGAGGATGAGACGGACTTTCGCAGCTGATGAACACAAGGAACAATTGTCCATTCCCCAGTAGACTGGACTGCGTGCAAGAGGGAAAGTTTTTCTGCACCTCTCCCTCCCATCACTCCCCCACTTAAGAATAAACAGTAGGGCCATTACCCCCAACAAACCTGCTCTGTGCTTTTGTTCCTGAATAGCCACAGGACCCCAAGAGTTCAAGTACATTGTGCAAACCCAGGGGATTTTTGTTTTCTGTTGCTTTTTGCTTGTTGTCTGTTGGCTGTTCTTTATTTCAGTTTTTCCCAGCAGGGAAAGTCATTGTTGGGGCTGGTTGTGACCATAATAGAACCTACAGGTTGACTCTGTGGATGGCATCAACCAAAACAAGGTCTCACAAACCTCAATTTTTACCAAATGCAGTAAGGCAATACCATCACTCTGGACACTGACCAGATCTTTACAGCATTTTTTCTCAGTACTATTCTGTAGGGGAGCCTTCCTCCACTTTGGGTATAAGAAGTAGGCCCTCTTGAAAGACCACAGACTTTCACCAACACTCTAACACTCAAGTACAGAGCTCAAAAAAAAAATCAAAGTAAACTTTTGTGGTTTTTATTTTTGTTTTGTTTTTGTTTGTTTTGTGTTGTTTTTTCAAGACAGAGTTTCTTTTTGTAGCCCTGCTTGTCTTGGAACTCACTTGTAGATCAAGCTGGCCCCAAGCTCATTGAGATCCACCTGCCTTTGCCTCCCAAGTACTGGGATTAAAGGTTTGCTCCACCACTGCCCAACCAGAGTAAACTTCTAAACATCATCGTAGAAGACAGGATCGATAAATGAAGTAGTGTGCTAGTACAGTGAGTGGGGTTCAAACCCAACTCTGAAGAACCAAATTGTTTCTAAGACTGGAAGGTCCTCACTAGTTTTTGACTCTTCTTCCGCAGCCTTCTTGGAGGTCCTTATCAATCATGAGATCCTTCATCATCAAATTTGTGTTTCTTCTACACATTGTTTCCTTGGGTGATGCTAACCTTGTCTTTGTAGCTTCTCCATTCAGAGTAACTTTCTGCCTCAATTATATTCCCTGTCGCTTCAAAACTCTCTCAGTTTCCTTGATCTCATCCTTTGCAGGACCCCAGCCAGAAGGATTAGAAATGAAAGTACACACTGGAGCTCTACACCTTGCTCCTTGTACCATCTTGGCTTCTCCTAGACTCCAGGATTGTTGACCTCTGTCCCTTCTAGGTTCCTTTCAAAATGCTTTTCCTCTTCTATATGCATTTACCCTTTGCCAGTAGAGAACAAAGACCCATAACTACATGTAAACTGTCCTGATGTGCTAGACTAAGAAAGAAGTGACTTAAAAGGATTGCCCCATTAATTTCTCCTGATCACTTGGACATGGTAGGATAAGGTACTTCCTTTTTTCAGATGTTTTTATTTAAATTAGAAACAAGCTTGTTTTACATGTCAATCCCAGTTCCCTCTACCTCCCCTCCTCCCCTGCCCCCCACTAAGCTCCATCCCATCCCCTTTCTGCTCCGCTCCCCAGGAAGGGTGAGGCCTTCCATGGGGGATTTTCAAAGTCTGTCATTTGGAGCAGGGCCTAGACTGTCCCCTGTGTGTCTAGGCTGAGAGAGTATCCCTCTATGTGGAGTGGACTCCCAAAGTCCATTAATGTACTAGGGATAAATACTGATCCACTGCCAGAGGTCCCATAGATTGCCCAGGCTTCCTAATTGACACACACTACGAGGGGTTCTGGGTCTGTCCTATGCTGGTTTCCCAGCTAACAGTCTGGGGGCCATGAGCTCCCCCTTGTTCAGGTCAGCTGTTTCTGTGGATTTCTCCAACCTGGTCTTGACCCCTTTGCTCATCACTCCTCCCTCTCTGCAACTGGATTCCATGAGTTCAGTTCAGTGTTTAGCTGTGGGTGTCTGCTTCTGCTTCCATTAGCTACTGGATGAAGGCTCTAGGATGGCATATAAGGTAGTCATCAGTCTTATTATTGGGGAAGGGCATTTAAGATAGCCTCTCCACTATTGGGTAAGCTACTTTCTAGTCCTGATCACAGCATTCTCTCTCTCTCTCTCTCTCTCTCTCTCTCTCTCTCTCTCTCTCTCTCTCTCTCTCTATCTCTATCTCTATCTCACACACACACACACACATACACATCGAATTACTAGGGTGGAAGTATCCATTCTTTCTTGGAGTCAAGAATTATGACACAATAACCAGAACAGGAAAGAAAACTTCCCCATGGTACTTTTTTTTGGGGGGGTTCGAGACAGGATTTCTCTGTATTGTTTTGGAGGCTGTCCTGGAACAAGCTCTGTAGACCAGGCTGACCTCGAACTCACAGAGATCCACCTGCTTTTGCCTCCCGAGGGCTGGGATTAAAGGTGTGCACCACTAACGCCAGGCTCCCATGGTACTTAATGAACCCATCACCCTCCAGGACCTTGATACTCACAGAGAAAAAATGTGGATAATTACATAAGATGAAGTGACAGCACCAAGGTGATCACAATCAGACTAGGCTGTGTATGCCTAACTCTCCCGTGTACAAACACATTTAGACTTGCACAAGAAACAGGTCACCCGTACACAACGTTTATAAGAGAGTACAGCATGGACAGAAAAACATACAGTGAACTAGACAATTTTCTGTAGGTGAAGCTCCTCCCACTTCAGGCCGGTGGGAGGGGGAGGGGAGCGGGGAGGGGGTCTCTGGAGCACTGAGGAGTCCACACACGTTTGCTCCCCCAGTTGTCTCCAGCCTTGCTGACTCTCACAGGAGCGGAGGTGGAGAAAAGTTAGTAAAGAAAGGTAGGAGGGGAGGAAGTGGGAAACCCTGAATTCCCCTGGTGGTGTTTTCTGTGAGATGACATGACGCTCTTACACTCGCAGTTTACCGACTTCACAACTTGATAAAGCATCTCGTGCTTTGCATATGTGGGAATGAGGCTTAAAGAAGCCAAAGGACTTGCTCAAGATCACAGAGATAATAAGAAGCAAATGTAAGATTTGGACACGCATGCCAGTACACGATGTCTCCATGATACAGTGCAAGCTCAGAGCCACTCTCTAGAGTACTCGTGGAAGTAGCTAACAACAAAGGCCACTCAAGAGCTGGCTGGATAAGGACAAGTCACAGCTCCATCAAGGAGGCCGGCCTTCATCCTCCACCTTAAGTCCCCAGATGACCTGGAAAGACCACAAACTCCCTGAGAAACAAAGACACTCTGTGTATCATCCCCCACCCCAGGCCAGGATCCAGTTTTCTGATAGCTGGGACTTCATTATTGGCTCACAATCCCTGGATAGGAGCCCAGTTTCTAATTCTCAGGCTTGCTATCAATCTGCAAAGGCCAGGGTTATTTCCACCACCCTTCAACTTCCACAGAAAAGGAAGTGCTCTCGAATGAAGAGCTAACTGCCACACCAAACCTATTTCTGAGAAACCTGTTGAAACAGGCCATTATAAAACACAGGCCTAGCAGCCACCTTTGAGTTTCTGGAATGCGAAGGAAAACCACAAACTGATGCAGACCAACCTGATGTGGTCCTTGGATGGTTTCTCAGAACACAGAAGAGTTAACAGGAAATTCAACCCTCACTTCCTGGATGAGGAGGAAAATATGCTAGGTATGGTATTTGCTATTATGGAACAGGAAGTGAAACGGAAGGGTTTACATCCACCAGTTTGATTAGAACTTCCCAGGAATGTGTGATTTGTGAGGGCCTCCATCAAGAAAAAAAAATTAAGGGAAGTTCTGCCCTTAGAGTCCTCTTTACAAACTTTACTCATAAGAGAGAAACTTTTACTATTTTTTTTCTCTTGTAGTATTAAGGACCAAGCCCAGGGTCTTGGAGCATGCTAGGAAAGTACGTTACCACTGGCCATACCCCTGCTCTCAAACTCTTACTGTTTAGATACTTAAATTTTAAAAATCTTAATTGAAATATAAATTATTTAAAGGGTCAGTAAGTTTGTCTATTAGGGAAAGAAACATTTAGACACAAACTAATGGCAAGGATATGAAATCTCAAATTTCCCTTCTGCTTTACAAAGGTCTTTAGGAAACAATCTTATCTGGGTTGGGTTTAGAAGGTGTAACTGCACACCAGCCATGGGCAGTTCTAGCATCAAAACCTGAGGCAATCTCTGGTGTCAAGCTGATAAAGAAGGCTGCGATCCCCCGTGTTTCAGTCTTCCCAGCCAGGTCACAAACAGGGAAAGATGAGAAAAGGTCATGTTGTCCTTCTTTCTACCCACAAGGATTATATTCTTGGATGAGGAGCTGTTTGCTGCTGGATCATCAATCCACTTCCTCCATAATTGCTATTCTTCCTTGAGCCACCCTCCCTAGCCTGGGTCTGACATGCACTGAATGTTCTCATCACAGGCTTGCCGTTCTAATCTGATCACAGCTCTTCTCAAAAGGCCCTTTGTGAAGGAGGAGGAGGAGGAGGAGGAGGAGGAGGGGCAGGAGCAGGAGGAGGAGGAGGATATAACTCATGGCAAGGTGTCTGCCTAACTTGTGCAAAGCCCTGGGTCTGATCCCCAGAACTTCAAAACAGACAATAAAATAAGTAAACAAACAGCCTCTTGTGGACATATATTGTTCACAGGATACATCATTGAGCTGTGGCGTACAACCTTGATGTTATACGCACACTATGTGTCCACTACCCCATGGGCAATTACACTCCATGCTCAATATGTGCTTTCCCCTGAGCCAGCCCTGGCTGTATGTGTGCCTCTGTCAATATCCACCAGCCGCTCCATGTTCCCAGTGCTCTTCTTCAAGACGGTCAAGCCACCCACAGGGCAGGGACATCCTAAACCCCTATCAAGAGGATCCCTTGAGCTCCCTGACTGAGGAACACCAGACAATCGCATGTATCTTTCAGCTGCTCCTAAACCTAATGGGGATTCAATGAGGACATTTGAAGAATGGTCTTTTATTATAATTGTGGTGCTGTGGTTGAGAGGAGGATGGCTAAAGAAATACCACCCAAAAGATTAGAAAATGAAGTCTGGAAGCCACAGCTTCAATGGGAGAATGTGAGTCCTGTGGAATCTATCTCCAATCAAGCAAGAGGAAATGATTAGTCCAGATAGGAATCTAAATTTAGGAAGGGATTCATCCCCCACGAGTCAC